CACACTTTTATAGAAATGGCTCTTACTGTGTAATTAAATCTAATTTCTGCCCTGTCTGTTCACAGCATTCCTCAAATTTATATATTTTTTTCTGGATGAGCAGAAACGCCCTCTGCCCTGCTTACTCAAGGTTATTGTTACAGCGTGGAATCATAATGCATGTGCCATTTGCATTAGATTAAATAATCTCTGTGCCATCACACTTAGATGACACTTCTGATCTTTGAATATTAGATCCAGTAAATTTCATGACCCTTTTTTTTTTTCTTGCTCCAAAGAATTTCCACCAAGGTCAAATTCCCCTAAAGTTTTCACTAAAGCACTGGAACTGTTTATGTTGACGTCATCATTTATAAGTTAGTCTATTTCTCTGTATTTCCGTGAACCCTTCACTTTAGGATTTATAGTTTATGGCTTCATTTCTCGCTTTTGAGATCACTTCAAAGAATTGGCCTGTAGTTTGGTCATTCGGATTAATAAGCTGATATTTTTTGAAGCTATCACTTCAAAAGTTTATTATCCCTTGAACTGATCTGCTGTTGAACTGTTTCCAGTGTTGCTCTGCAGTAAAATGACATTTTGACCAATTGATATTAATTAGAACCTGGCAGAAATGTCTGGTTTTAGGACAGTTTCAAACCTCATTACGACATGAAAGAATATTCAAGTAAGAAATCTTTGCAAATAAACTTTTTTTTCTTAAACATTTGATGAAATGTAAAAAACTAAAATAAATAAATTTATAGTTGTTTACATTGGCTAATAACATAAGATGACCACAGCCTGTTGGCTGAAAATAATGCACCGATATGAAAATTTGATAACCAGTGTTTACCGATATATGATTGAACAAACACCGCTTGACCAACCTTCTCCTTTAATCAATAAATATTGATTGTTAATATCGCCCCAGCTTTACTGGTCCGATGTGTCTTAAAATCTACTAACATTGATACCAATGTTGATGCCGATACATTCCAACCTGAAATTGGCGTCTGGCTGGCTTTAAGTCATGACTTATTTCCAGATCCCTCTTTTTGTTTTTTTGACGAGTTTAGCATTTTAATGTTTACTTTGTATTTTAAAATTCTTATCATGTTTGTTTTGTTTATGTAACTAAAAGCCCATCTAGGGACAGAAAATATAAATTATCTTAGCTTGTATGTCTTAAAGTGTATGCTATTAATTCCTAAAGGTGCAGTATGGAACGTTTATAGAAAATATAGATGTTGCAGAAGAACTCCCCACACCATTTCCCGTAAACCTCATCAAGCTAGCACATTTTTTTGTATTTGTTAAAAGTATGTTGTAACAGAATAAGACATTGAGCTCCTCTGCCTTCACCCAGTTGAAGCTGCACCATCAATCACAGCCAGGAGGCGGTTTTTAGCGTTGTCAATCACACTCATTTACATGCTACTCAGACCCTCCCCTTTTCTTTCTGCTATGCTACTGCTAGTTCACCAGAACTTAGTGTGTCGTGAATGCTAATTCACAACACAAAGGAAGAAAAGGTCCAGACCCAAATGCAGAACGATGGTGTGCTTCATCAGAATCCTAGAACGGTGAGTTCTTTCTCAGCCATTAGCACAGTTAGCAGCGTCTACGTGAGACTGATTGACAGCGCTATGACCCTCCTCTTGTTTGGGAGTGGCTCATTTCTTCAGACAGCAATAGTAGCTGTCTCATATCATGCTGTCCCAACACAGTAACTGTTATAACAAAAATGTAAAAAACATATTTTTCTAAAAGTTGCTTACTGGAGCTTTAAAACTGCAAATAAATGAATTGATTTGAATTCTACTGTAAGAGCTTGTAGGGACGTTGCTTTGTCAGTCTATGTTTTTTTATTTAATCTTTAATTTAATCTTTCTTATCAAGATTAATTTAATCTTTATATTTTTAATTTAATCTTCTTAATCTAAATGTTCCAGGTCCATTTCCTGCAGAATAGAAACACCACATGTCATCCTACTTCTGAGCCTAATGCTTAAAGGTCAGATTAGTTTGAAAGTAAAGGAAGTAGGTAAATTAAACTAATTCAATTTTGCCTCCTCAGACTCTGCAATCAGAATCCTGTTGTGCAAAACACTTCAATCAAAGCTGCCACAGACCAAAGACTTTTTTTTTTATTGTGTGACTTTAATTGTGTCTGTGTGATTTAATTAGACGATACGTAGCGGTTCAGCAGCTCTGTGCGTTTGCGCCGCCGTAAAGATGAACCGAGTCAAGCGAGTTCGTTCAGATTCGGGCGATGATGTAAGGAACTTTCTGATTCCTCCAAATGACCCCGGTTCTGTTTTTGTCAAGTGGATGACCTTTACTAACCACCAACTCAACCCTGACATTTAAAACAATTACACAAAGAACTTAACTTTTAAATGAGAAAAAATGGAACTCGTTTACACGTTTCAGCTCTTGCCATTTTTTAAAGTTTGCGTGGAATCCTCCTGACAGCGGACAACGTCCTCCCACACTGCGGCACGCAGCAGATTTGCATTTGTAGGCAGAAGCTGATACTAAAGAGAAAAGCACAATGAAAACTCTACACAAAAAGTGTTTCCCAATTAGAAGGCATAATAAAGACAGTCCAGATTCTGACAAGATGTCGGACTAGAAAGTATAAGTGATACTGAATCTATCTGAGAGGAGCAGAGTGTGGGAATTGAGGAGGAAAGCTGCTTTGTGAGGCAGAAGCTTGGAAACTGCAACTCAAAGGAAGAGATGCATCTTGGAAGGCGGAGCTAGGTCCACCAAGGCGTTTTGCGCAGCTGAATAGTTGCCATGGAGATTAAAGGATTTCTTGAACGTACACAAAAGAGTCAAAGCAACATTTCAGGTATGTTTTTGGTGACAGAATAACAGAATAGCAGGATGAGCTCATAAAAGTTAATTTTACATGATATTTATTCAAATAATCGCCCAGCCTGGCGGGGGGCCAGCTGAAGCCTGATGGCCCGCCAGGCTTGTAATGCACTGAGGGAAACCCTGATGATGATCAAAATGCTTCAAACCTGAAAACTACGCTTTATGTGGCATTCTTTCTAGAAAACATCCATAAATACCCAATATCTGCTTTAATGAAACAAGGATAATTGATCAATGCAGATCATATTTGTGAGCAAGAGAGAGAGATTCTCCTATTTTTAATTGAACCCTGAATCTGGAGCACGAAGAAACGGATCCGTCACCATCAGAGGCACAATGTATCAGCCATTACTTTTCTATTTTTTCTGCTTTTTCTCACAGAGACAGAATTGTAGGACCATTGTGCAGCACGACTCGGGGGCGTCAGCATCATAAAGACTTGGCCATTAGCATCCCGTTTTTATTGTCCGGTACACGATGTGGCTTGCATCTGTACAGTTCGGTCCACCCTCACACTCACTGCTGCTCACATGAAGCTGCCTTTTTTTGTAGCGCTGCTGCTCAGGTTTTTATATCTCTTTGCCTGTTTTGACAACTTTATTAATCAAAAAAAAAAGAAAAGAAAAGAATGAAATGTCATTGCAGATTTTAGCAGACGGCATATAAAAGCTTCAGTGCTTTTTAATTTGTTGAAAAATTACATGTTTCTCCCGTATTTGATTTTTCTACATCAAAGGCCGTCGATGAAAATTTAACTGCCACTCAAAAAGTACTTTTTCTCCTTCAAAGGTCTAAATCACATCCAACTTCATTTTTCACAGTCAGTGAAAAATGAGAAGGCGTTGAGTGCAGTGCCTGTAGGAAGTACAGAGCCTTACCATTTTGTTGCTACTGGCACAATTAGCATAATTTTATTTACTTTTGCTCCGTGTCGCATACAAGACTATTCAATGTGAGCATGGAGAACCCCTAAAGCAGGGACGTCAAAGTCAAATACACTGAGGGCCAAAAAAACCTAATTTGCTACAAGCCGACGGCCGGACTGGTTCAACGTGTATTAAAATATATTGAAATGATTGCACATAGCCTCTTGAACCAAGACCAAACGGTATGGTGTATATCATTTAATAGTTAGATGAATAAAGCAATATTTTTTATGGATCTGTCAGTTATTTCAAGTGAAACCATTTTTCAACAGGCAAACAGAAAAAACAAACTTCCTTCAAAGAAAAATCGCATGTTATGTACATTAAAAAAGTAAAGCAATATTTTGTTATGACTGTCAGTAACCCCAAGGGAAAACAGTTTCAATAGGCAAACAGAACATTTTTTATTGTTTTGAAAAACAAAATATGTTTCTTAATATCAATATAAATTCATGACACAGTAACCAATTAAGATACATTACAGTTTGTCAAATGCCATCATCAAAATCATCAAGGAAATAAACAGCAAATAAATTGATCAACATTTCAGCAATTGTGAATCTAAAGTTGTCTACCAATTTTGGTTCCTTTGGTCCAAAGCAGACAATAATCCAGTGTTTCACGAGCTTCCATTTGTCCGTTCTGTAAAACCTTTGAAGCAGTCTTTAGTCTCTGCTTTTCGCCACAATCTCAAGGCTGGATTAGCTTTAGCTTAGCATATAAAGCTACATATGCTACCACGACCTGCTGCTTTGGGCGCTGTTGTATCTTACCTTATAGTCTATTTAACCGCTTCCTGTTACACACCAAGTGCTTGACGCAATTTATTCACACTAATATGTCCAAAAAAGGAAATGGATTCATTGGAAAGATTCCATTCAAGGTGTGTGTGGGTTTAGCTTGAAAGTGTGACACATCCAGCCGTCGAGTCGCTTTAAGTCTTTTTTGTGTGAGAGGTTGGCAGCCTGTTCTACCCAGATATTCAAACTGACTGCTGCTTGTCAGTGGAGGGACGACTTTTACAGCCTAGAAAGTCGATAGAGCTTGAGTTTTGTGGAGCACTTGTAGATTTGTTATGCAGATCGACGACATTCCAGTGAACCAAAAGTGTGATTGTGGCACAATTAATCAGCTGTCTATTTCCGGGGCAGAGCAGTCTGACACTCGTTCCTGTGTGTGTGTGTGTGTGTGTGTGTGTGTGTGCAGGTCGCAGGGTCCTCGCATGATGTCCAGATTCACGGCAGAGCAGCTGTCCAGCACCACTGTGAGTGAGGCCTCCACCGCCATCACGTCCTCCACCGTGGACTCCGCCTCTGCCTCCAAGGTTGGTGGGCATGTCTGTACTTGTCCATAAGATTCTTGCTTGTTTTTGTGACATTCTTTGGTCGGCCAGAGCGTGATGTTTGCAATGATGTTTGTAATTAACAAATAGTTGACTGGTGCCTCGAATCACACGATTTTACGATGGCTGAATGTGAATTTTGATCAGAAATCTCAATCTCAGTAACTAAACCCAAAAATCAGCTTTTTTGTTTGTGGAGAGAAGCTGTATAAATTTAGCTTTAAGCTGCTATAATTTGATGCTGTGCAAAATGTGACATTTAGAAGAATTTAATCTTGTAATATTTGTCCGTAAACTGTCCTATTGCTGCCCTCCTTGGGTTGGAGGCTGGCTACTGCAGTTGAATTTCCCATTTGGCTACAAACGGTGCAGCTCAGTTGACATCTACGTCTGGTTTTAGAAACCCAAATGGAAGAACAGAAGACAGTGCAAATGTGAATTTGTGATGTCCAAAATAAAGGATCACTTCACTGCTTTATGTTTGGCGTCAGATTCCTGCCAAAAACCATGAGGTGCTTAGGAAGCACAAACCACAGCACATTTATTATGACATTTATTTAAGGTTAAATAAAAGTAAACTTTGTCTTGCTGCAAAAGGCACAGAACTTTCTAAAGAAGCTTCGAAGTGAAAGATCTCCGATTCAGATCACGCGACGATCCTGAGCCCTTCCGTCTTTGCCAAGCAGAGATGCTGCCGAGGTGTTTTGCTTCTGTTACTCTATCTCTTACGGTTTAACACACTCGTCTCCGGCTCCGTTTTCTCCGGCTCCTCCGGCTCCGTCAACAGGTGCTGCGCAACCCAAGTTGAACTCGTGTCATCGAGTGAGGCACAACAGATGACAAGACATCCATCAAGACACCCAATCACGGCTTCCAGGCCTAGTGTTTTATCGGCTCCGCGGCCATCCCAGGTGCTCTGGCTCATCGCTCCCCTACCTGTCATCAGATGGCGGTAAAATAAAGCTCGCAGTGACGAGAGCAACCCTGAAGAAAGAGGCCTGTGTGAAGATGAATCATTGGTATCCCCTCTCACGCGGCGCACCGCCATCTCAATTTGAAACCCGCCGTCTGAATAAGTCATATCTATTCCTCCCCTGACAAGGCATCAGAGGGTGTGCTGAAACAGAAATTACCCACTTCCCCTCCGAGAGTAATGTGTCACAATTCTCTCCTCAGCGCTTGTCGTCTCCACGTGTTGGAGTCACGTTTGGTTATTTTGTGGTTTTAAAGGAGCCTTCATAATATCTGGGAATGGAATTAATCAAAGTGACATGTTGGGGTCCCTGTTGCCTGTTCTGGACTTTTTTTTGCGTGTGTGTGCATTCATACGCCTCATCAACTCGCCTGTCTTGCTGTTTAAAAATCACATCTGTCAGCCGAAGAAAAAGGCGTGTTGAACAGTGGTATGTGGTTTATCTACTTTTTACCTTTAAGTTTAAGAATTTAGAATAAAGAAATAATTTGACAAAAAAAAAAAAACTCACATGAAGGTATATCTTTAATTGAACCTGTTGTCACTCTGTTTATTAACTTGCCATGTATGCTAGAGTACTGTAAAAATGTAACACAAAGACCTAAAAATGAAACTTTATTTCATATGAAGTCAATGCTCCATGAGCAACAATTGCTGGGACAATTTATCATCACGCAAAATTAGTTATTGTGACAGGCCTATGTGCACTGCCAGTCAGATGGCTGAAAGAAAGCTGTTCAGAAAATATTGCTGGTTGATACAACAGTCATGACGCGAAGTCTGGACCATCACTCTTGGTTCCAAATGCTGTGATACAATGATATCATTATTGATATTATTATTATTATTATTAGCTTCCTCTTTAGCTTTGTTGGTATGGTAGTATCAAACTACTTTCAGAAATTGTTGTTTTTATTTGATTACAAGTATTGTAATCAAATAAGGCGGGATTGTTCTCGGGTAACCTGCCAGAGAGAAAACCCGGACGGACACACACACACACACACACTCTGTCGCTTTGGGTGTCAGATGCAAACTGGTGCGTCGAGACAGATCTAGTCCACCAGTCTCATCCTTCTTGCCTTTTTACGGGAGGCTTTGATGGGATGGGAACGAACAGATTTAAGACCTTCCATCATCAATCCTTTGAAACGCTTCTCTTTGAATTTCTCCATCTGGGTGTTTCTGGAGCCAGGAATGGCCGTAGACAGACATCAGAGACCTGAATTTGTACATTTGAAATATAAAAGTCTTTTTGGGAAAGACTGGGCGATGCGAGCGAAACGAGCGTCTAATCAAATGAAAAACGGACTTTGCAGTCAACGACAGACATTCCTCCATTTTAGGATTTAGAAGTCCATCGAAACGGACTAGTAGCTTAGCAGTCTTCAGTGATAATATCACAACGTTTCAGCCTTTTAGATGGACATGAGATAGTTTAATAATGAAAAAAAAGGCAACTGCTTATTCTTATAGCAGTTTTACCCCAGTTACAGTAGTTTACCTTCGCAGCTTTAGAGAAACGCTTCAGCTAATCTGGGCTAACACTGAATTTTTTTGGGAATGCTGACAAATTGTATGGCCTGGCAGTCGTGAGCTAAAGGTGCCATATCGGTGAATGCCGAAATTCTTATACTCATGTGGCAACAATGACCCAGTTAGGGCTGAAATGATTAATTGTGATGAATCGATTATGGTTATAATAAAAATCTGCTGAATGTTTTTCATTTTTAATCATATTAATTGATTAATTATTAGAATAATTGATAAGTTCACTAATTTCTAAAATAATCATGGCAGGCCTAGACCCAAAAGTTACTTGATGTCTTGCTACCAACACAGACGTTCTGCTTGTGCTGCACTCACCTCGGCATTATGTAAATCTGACATATTGCCTGATTAATTCCGCTAGTACTTATCTTTCATAAGAAGATGATGGCTATAAATTAATATATTTTATTTCTTTGTATTAATACCTGTGTAAAATGCACCTTTGGTTAAGCCACCATACATCGGAAGATTCTTTATGATCACTGCAGCCTGGAGGTAAAGCTCTTTAAGAGCCTTTTGCTCGAAGTCAGATGAGTTTCTTTTCATCATCCTTCTGTCCCCGTCGCCTCTCATAGAGTGGGAAATAAATGCTTATGAGATGCAGATAAGAAAATAAAGAGATCCATCTGAGGGTCTACTTTTAATTGATTTTCCTTTCCAGTTCAAAGAGCTACAGAAGTGTAGTTCCTGTTATATTTTGCTCGTCTACACCTATAGAGGCCAAGAGGAACTGTGAATCAGCTGAAAAATAATTGAGTATTTCATTAACCCAACATTTTGAACCTGCATATGATTCTGTCTGCTAAAGGAAATCAGCCTCCCTCCACGCTGCCACTCTTAGTCCCCCGATCAGCTCGCGGGTCGGGATCCACATTAAGCGTCGACTTCTGTAAGTGCATCACAAACAAGAGCTCTGAAGGGGACGGGAAGACATTACTCTTGTTTAATTACTTTGCCTAGGGGAATTAAACTGGCAGCGGTGTGGTCTCGGGACGGTCCCTCTTGGCTTTCAGCTCGCCTAATTGTGTGCCACTCACATAATAAGTAGCTGTTTAGACTCTCAGTCACTCACCTGCAAGACAGAATGCTGCTGCACCGCAGGGACCAGTGGCTGTTCCACAAAATTACCCTTAGCCTAAAAATAGACCTCCGCATTGCACACACACACACGCACGCACGCACGCACGCACGCACACACACACACACGCAGAGAGGCAGTGCCACATGTACGTACATTAATATTTACGGCGTGCTGATATTGTAGCGTGTCTGTGTGTCTCGCTTGGCCAACCAGCCTCCCTCTAATTAGTGAGTCTGTTTGCTTCTTCCCAGCTGTGGAACGGCACAGATTCACATTCACATCAAACAAACATTCACCTCGAGGACTGATGTTAGGTACGGACTTCTGGGGAATAAAGTCTTTCCTGAGATTTTGGAATACTCCAGGTCTGTCGCAATAAGCAATTAAACAATTAATGGCATGATAAATTCAATTGAGCTCTACAATTTACATTCCGATCATAATTTTTGAAGGGCAACTTTTGTTTATATGATCCATTTTATTTATGCTTTTCTGCTGTTTTTTTTTTTTTAGTTTCACTTGGTGTTTTTGCTTGTCACGTTTCATTTTGAATATTTGAAATTTCTCTCAGTTTAAAGTCAAGTTATCTTTTACAAAATTAAAGGTTTTGGCCTTCGAGAAAGCAAACTTACATGATTGTGTCTGAAAATGGTCTCAAAACGACATTGTTTTTTTTAATCGCAATAATTTCTGGGACAATTTAGCGCCCAGCAAAATTTATTGTGTCAGGTTTAAATGTAAAGGGATTTTGTGATCAGTGTCAGATAAAATGTAGGATGTATTGAGTTAGTTATATTGCTAAAGTATTACCTAAGTAAACATTTTAAAAAATAACACAGGGTATAATTTATAACATTTTCACAAAAAACCTGCAAAACGTTTACTTCTTTTTAAAAAATCACCAATCACTTTGAAATAAAAATAATTTCCACTCTATATTCCTTAGATAAATAGTCATATTTTTTATACATTACAGTGAAAATACATTTCAGTGATTTGAAACAGACAATGCAGATTGGTAACTACTGGAGTTTTTATATGGAGTTCCTCAGAGTTGATTGTTTGGAACAATGTTGTTTCTTTTTCATATCAGTGACGTGTGCAAAGTTTTTATACCGTTGGTAGACGACCAAAGATGCATTTTGCTGCGTAAAGAACACAAATCAATAAAGAGCTGAATGTCTGGTTGGTTTTAATACATTGACTTTAAATCTAAGTAAAATGATTCTCGGTCAACCATTTTAACAACTTAAATTTTGATGACTGGTTCGATTTTGTCATTTCCTTTGTCCTTTTCGCTTTATTTCCATTTAATTCCCCTTCTCACTTTGACCTTCCTCTTTGCTGTCTTCTCTCAATTGGATTTGGATTCTTACAACATACAAGTTGATTCTCTTTAAAGAAGTGAAGGCACAGATATGAGTTTCTCAAGGGAAATTATATCTGTTGAGGATGCAGGCACTTCAATACTCACGTGCTATTATTAGAAAGGAATGCTTGCTCTTTGTCAGCTATCTTTCATATACATGGCATGTTGGCCTCATCCGTCATCACCACAGCCTGTCACCACCGATAGTCAAATATTCAGAGTCACTCACTAAACTTTCCTATCAGCAGTTTTGTGCAAATAAAAATGAATAAGTGCATTTGTATGCAGACACTTTCACTTGAACACCCCTAAATAAAATTCAACTCAACCAATTACCTTGAGGAGTGACAGTAGGTGGTGTGTAATTTAATGCCAGCATTCAGCTGTTAGAAGGTTGTTGAGAATATTAGTAGCATCATGAAGACCAAGGAGCACAGCAGGAAGAAAGTGGAGAGGTTGAGTCAGTGGAAATCTATAAAACAACGTCCCAACATGCCGATCACATCAGACAGAGCCAATTTAAAATCAGAAAATAGAAAGAAAAGCATTAAGCTGAGAAACAGTCAAGTAGGCAGTAGTAAATCTGGAGGTGGGAGAATCTGAATTGATTGGGAATGTGTTGTCAAAAGAAAGCTGTGAAAAAATCCAGTTTGTGGAATTTTGAAATTTCATCTCCCTTTTTCAGACTTTTGATGTTACCTCCATTAACTTCTCCATATTTTCATATGAAACCTTCTGACTTTCACTTCACAGTCCTCCTCCTTCTCACCCAGGATAGAGAGATTTTGTCTTTGTTTGACAAATGTTATAGCAACAGTGATTCTCACTGTCAGAAATCAGGTAGAAAATTGTCTGTCGCCGAGTAATGACTATAATTAGGCAACAATTGGGGCAGAAAAGGAGAGATATCAAAAAAAGAGATAATGATAGCGTGGATGAAGGCCTGTGCTGGGCTGCTGTAAGTGAGATTGAATGCTCTGATTAAGAGCAGAGCGCCAATTATGCCCCACTTGGATAAATCAGATATCTTCCTTTTAATCTCAACTTCTCAACCACAGGTTAGATACAAAAGTTTAGCATGTTGAGCTAAAATACAAATGCTTATCTTTTCTATTGGTTTAAGAGCCGGTTTTTAAGTTACCTTGATGCCATGGAAGGTTTTCTTGACTGACTGAATTACTCCTGGTTGTTTGGGCTTTGTGTGTTGCAGGCCTCTAGATCCAGTGGGAAGATTCACAGCTTTGGGAAAAGAGAACAATCCATCAAGAGGAATCCCAACGTCCCAGTGGTGGTCCGAGGATGGCTATACAAACAGGTAGACGACCCCCCTGCTCAGATATCGTAGTCAGCTTCCTCACGTTCATATGAGGAAACCTATATGTTGCATTATTTTCAAATGCAACATATAGGTGTCACATTTCATTTATAAAAAAAGTGTTAGATTTAATTTGGTGAAACCTGTCAGACCATATAAGGGATTTATGTCCAACAAAAATATTGCTTACATCATTACCACCATAATACCAAAAAAAAAAAAAACAGGGAAGAAATTTTTGTTTTTGTTTTTACATAACCAAATGAGAGTTCCATTCCTGAGTTCAGGGGTCGAACAAAATCATTTCAATGGCAACGAATGGCTCTCGGGCCACATTTTGGACACCCAAGAGGTTTGGATTGGACCACACTGTAACCATGATGATACAGGGTCATGCTGCTGTCGATTGGATCGCCACCTTGACCAGCAGCGAGTCTGAGAAACATGTCTTATTATTATTTCTTTGCACCTGTATTATTAGTATTATTATTATTTTATTTTCCGCCCTCCACCAAAATCCACTCCAGTTGGGTCAGGAAAGTTTCTGCTTTTTTCCACGGCCCACTTTTACTCCTCCCTGATTTATTCCGTGTACGTTGGAAATGTGGAGCACCTGGTGTTTGATCGCAGTCGGGCTATTACTGGAGAGCGTTTGCTTATTTAAAGTTCTACTTAAAATAACCGGCGCTTGGCACCACCCCGCCGGAAAGACGCCTGGCCTCGCTACGACGCGAACGGTGAGACGACGAGAATCAGACGGCGACAAACATCACTATGCGTGACACCTATATCACAATTACAACACCTCGTACCTCGTACCTCACACTCAGCGTCTCTGTGGCCTGTTTTATCCCTTTCATCTGCCCACACATTTTTTACATTTTGAGCAAATGGGAAAAGTATTTATAACTTTGTTTGAGGTTGGAGGGTTTTGCTTTTTTCCTGCTTCTGCTGTGTCACCTCTCTATATATGGCTCCATTTTTAGCAAGCAAACATACAGGATGAAACAAGCGGCGGAAAAAAGCAGCGAGCCAAAAAACATTCCCTGCTTGGGTCCGGCTCACTTTTCCTCCATATCTGCTTGGTCTTGTCACAAAATGTACTGCAAACTCTGTGGACTTTACAGTACATTATTATTATTATTATTATTATTATCATTATTATTATTATTACTCATGAGTGTTTTGCCTCTTTTTTCCTCTGCAGGACAGCTCTGGGATGCGCCTTTGGAAGAGGAAGTGGTTTGTCTTGTCTGATTTCTGCCTTTTCTACTACAAAGGTGAGTTTGTGCCACAAGGCCTTTTGTTTTTTACATGGTATACAACTACAAAAACATAATAAGCTGATGATCAAGTAAGTAGGAGTTGTCAATGGAAACCAAAAAATAGAAAACGTGGTGAAGGAAAAATGTGCAGCTTTAAGCTGAAATTTTAGACAGTATTTAAACATTGCCAAGTTAGATGGATAAAAAAAAGAAGAAATACACTGAATTTCCTGTTATTTGTTTAAAAGTTGCAGTCGGAACGAACAGCAAACACGCTTCCATAAAAAATATGGAATTTCCTTTCTGGAAGCATCCCATCCACTGCAAAAACAGCAAATCTTACCAAGTTCTTTTGATCCAGTTTGTACAGCAAATATTTTATTACACTGAAAATTAATCCAAAATCGTCCAATTCTGATCAGTGGTCGGTTCCTCTTTAATCTTTCATTTATATTTCTTGATAAAAAACTATTTCTACTCTGATGCTGATTATAACTTGCCTGCCTGCTGAGATGAAATTTTATGTTGGAAAAACTTTGCAAGTGCAAATGCCTGAGTTTGTCACTGATTAGTCCTGACAGTTCTAACTTGGTCCAGAACTCTGTGTGTCAATCTACATTAATGAATTCAAAAAGAAAAAAAACAACAACCAGTATTTATATCACAAATGTGACTTTGGTATAAACTGTGTAGAAAAAGTGCCTGATTGTTTTTGTGAAGTGGAACTGACAAAGGAGGCAGTAAATCAGTCTTGGCGTCCTCTAATTGGATTTTTCCTAGTGAAACACGTATGTGACAAGAGCTCACACACACACGCACACACACTAACCACGTCCTTCCTGTCTTAATCCGCCTCCCTGTGCGCTCCTTTGCCGTCTATGTGTATTTTTGATGGAACCTTTTGGAAGTCGCCTCGGTGACATCGATTCGCCGCCGTTTCAATTTTGCCTCTTTTCTCCCTCAGTTCAAAGGTTTCTGCTCTCAACGTGAAAAGTCTTGATCCGGCTTGTCGTTTCCTTTCATCACGAACACAACCACACGTTGGTCTTTCTATTATGTCATGGGTTCTGGTTTCTGTTAGGGCTCTAGATTTCTTTTGTTTTTTGCTTTTTTTGTCACACTTTTGAAACGATAAAATACGAGGACGATCATAAACAGATGAAATATCATCAGACGGGCCAAAATATAAAGTTACATATAATTATGAAATAACAAAATCAAACAAAAATAAACATTTGTCCAAATCAATTTCTTTCAATGAAAAAATCTCATGAAACTTTAACAAAAACAGCAGGTCTGTGTCTGGTGATGGTTTTCCGTTCATTCAGTGAAGTTTCTCACGGTGGGTAGAGGAGCCAGACGTCTTACTCAAGTAAGAGCAGCAAAAGAAACTTCATGAAAAAAAAAAGACTCTTAAAAGTAAAAAGCACTCTAGTTATGTAAATGTAACTAGTTACAGACAACTATTAATATAACTCTGAGCTGATCAGGTTTGCTGTGTGGGTGTGGGGGTGGGTGTGCGTGTATGTGTGTGTGTGTGTGTGTGGGTGTGCCTGTATGTGTATGTGTGGGTGTGCGTGTATGTGAATGTGTGTGTGTGTGCCTGTATGTGTGTGTGTGGGTGTGCGTGTATGTGTGGGTGTGGGTGTATGCGTGTGTGTGGGTGTGTGTGTGCGTGTGTATATGTGTGTGTGGGTGTGCGTGTATGTGTGTGTGTGTAAGGTGGCTCCCACCGTCTCGTCCACCATGTGGGGAATGTGTCCTCCAAACGACCTTGGATTATTTTCAACCCAACTCTCCGTTAAATCTACAGTGTCACCTTATCACCTTCCATCCAGACACTCGGAGACACGGACATGTGGCATGCTCACATTCCTTCATATCAGCAGTGAATTTTACAATGAAGCAATCATTGAGCGCGCACACACACACACACACCACACACACACACACACATGTTGTAATTCTCTGGCAGTACCAAGTAAAAAGCCAACATGTACAGAGTTGCAAACATAGAGCGATATTTTTAAAAATGTGAGAACATCATTCCTCCAGCAGCAACTTTAGGCATTAAGACGAAAGTTTAGGGTTAGGGTGAAAGGTCAAGGGCTGGAGAAACGCGTGTTTGGCGGATGGCTAGCGTTTACGCCACAGCTCATTTAGCTTCTGGCACACGGAGCAACGGCAGGAGAGCGTCGTGTCGCTGGTGGCAGGCGGGGCGTGAAATTAGAGGGTGATGAGTGATACTTATTTTATTGCCCCTTCCTTTCCTCTCTATCTTTATCTCTGTTTGCCCTCACCTACCCCGCCCCGATTACCCACTCCCTCATTCACTTTCTCCCTCTCTCTCTCCCTGCAGACAGCAGAGAGGAGGCGGTCTTGGGCAGTATTCCTCTGCCCAGCTATGTCATTTCACCCGTTGGCCCCGAAGATCACATCAGCCGCAAATATGCCTTCAAGGTACGCCTCTTTTTGTTGTCAGCACTCTTTCTATGCTGCCTGGTAGTTCTTTTTTTTTGCTCTAATATGATTGTGGTTTTCTTTTAAAGTTAAGATGAAAATGTTTTGTTGTTTTTTTTTGTAATAACAATAAGCAGCAAATATTTCTCAGCTCATCATTTGCAAATATTCTTCAAGTCAGCTAGCGCACAATTTACTGCATGAAATTACTGAAACGTCAAAGTGGCGATATAAAGGAGTCGCAGGGTTTTAATTTTACGTCAACAAGAAGAAAAAAAAAACGTCTTGATGCTGTGCATCATGGCCACCGGTTGGAAGTGATTCCATCCTGACTGACAGATAATGTTTTTTTTTTTTACTCCCACTGGAACCACTTGAGATAAAATGTTTGTATGTTTCCTGCTATTTAAAGCTGAGAAGTTTCCGCTGAGTTATTTCTGTCATTTCAGCCTGAGAAGCTCATGCTAAATGCCAAACAGACACTTGCCCTTTATAACCCTTGCATTTTTCCACATTTTGTCACGTTACGATCACAAACCTGGATGTTTTTTATTTGGATTTTCAGTGTGTGGCTAAAATCAGGCTTTTTTAAAGGACGGCAATTGGCCAGAAAATTTAAATTGCTGCACCCGTACTTTTCAGCTTTTCTTTTTCTTACCACATTTCAATATAAACCAGATCTAGAGAGTATAAAATTAACATCTGCAATGTGATAAGACAAAGTGAAACTGTCCAATCGTCTACTGACGAGGTGACTTCTGATGCAACATGTTTTATTTTGAGGTGTCAGGGTAAAGAGGCTTGAATGCAAATTGATTTTGCTCCATTTTCATGAACTACTTTCTGTTGTTCTTTCACATAAAATACAAATATAAAACATTAATGTCCTAATGTGATAAAATGTGGGGAAAGTCAGGAGGTACAAAACCGTTTGCATGTCACCGCTACACACAAGTACATAAGCATTTCCATAGAGATATTTTTGTGGTTTACCACACAGGTTTTCTATTTATGTGCATTCATGTGCTTAGTCTATTCCAGTTGTGCTTCCACAGATTGGATTATTAACCACATTCCTACCTGCAGCCTCCGTCTGCCCCCTCCCCACCTGTTGCACCTGCGTCCATTACAGCCGACTGCCTGTCAGCGTCTCTGTTGAGACGGAACGGCATGAAGCCTCTCCGCTCCCCGAGGCGGAGCTTTTTCGTTTTGCTGTTGTTTGTTTTTACAGTTCAGCCTGGCAACACAGTGAGCAGATGCTCGTTTTTCTACGAATCCCATCTACGAATCAGATGGGAGGGTCTACATGTCACGGCTGTTTTTGTTCGAAACATGAAAGCCCATAAAAACCAAACGGTTGCCTCAGCCCAAGTTGTTACGACAAGTTGCTGTGGCAGCGCCCTGCCTTCAGCAGCCTTTGCACCTTGCTCCTGATTAAAGCGTGAGATAGATACTGTTTTATTCTTCTGGCCGGACGGGATCGTTCTGTTCGCGACGAGACGAACGCGACACAAAACGCTTTTCCACTGTGTCAGTGTGGAATCTGTTGAGGTTCAGTTTTCACCCATTTGCATGAACTTTCTAAGGCCTTGAAATGTAGAAACCAAAGGTTTTTAAAGGTGCTTTCTTTCTATCATGATATTTAGTTTTCATGTATAATTACTGCAACGAAAGATACAAGTCATCTGGATTCTATTTTCTTATAATGTAGGTCATTATAGATACTCTAAAAAAGTATCTATTTTTTAATTAGTGTACTTTTTTCCCATTAAAGTGACAACGTTGCTGTTTCTCTTTCCCTTCCCTTTTCCTAAATTATATCCAATTTTCTTTTTCAATTTTACCATCTCTCTTGAAGGTAAAACTCTCTTTGAACTCTTAAATCAGCCAGATACTCAATAAGTGTTAAAAGTGCCTATTTAATCTCACCTTAACACCCAGAATCCGATAAGTCCAAGGTCTTTCAGGGGTCACCGAAATGAAACAGCTGTTGGCTTTGTGGGTTTCTTTCACTTGGCCTCCCAGGTTTTCATTTCTCTCCGGCTGCAGGAATCTCATGCATCTCCACCAAACTCTACTCAGTTTGAGTTCATTAGGATTTCCAAACACACTGACTGTTGATGCCACAAACACATTTGACTGGTTGTATTTGTTGATTAAAATCCACAGTCACCTGCATATCAAACCCCGCTCCCCACTTCCTTTCATGCTCCCCTCGCCCCTCTACTTACCGAACCCTCTCCCCTCTCTTGTTGCCATTGGCCGGCTGCCTGGCTGGGACCTCCCTCCCTCCCTGTGAGTGTGTTGAGCCGTCCAGCGAAAGCCCGCCCATAAATAGGTACTCAATCCACCGCTGTGGTGTCGGTTCTCTCTCTTCCTCTCTCTCTCTCTGACCAGGTGTGGCCCTTCCGCATCCCTGTCGCCTGCCATCGCTGTGGCTTTGTTGGTTATAAATATGGGAGAATATACAACAGCTGCGTATATTCCTGTGTTATTGATGCATGTCTTGTTTGTTTTGGGCTGATGTTTCATTTGGCAGTTTGTGTCATCGCCCTGATCTTGATTTTTCATTGTTACCGTCGTTTGACTCTTTTGCCTCACCTTGTCCTGTTGATACATAGTGGATCTTCCTGGTGTTTGTCTGTGTGGCCACGTCACACTTTTTTTCTGTCAAATCTGCTGCTTGTAACTTACTTGTTTGTCACCCAAGAGATTAAAGAAGTATGACGTATTTTGTTTGGATTAGATGTAAGAGAAGGGCTCTTCTCCACAAAAAGAACAAATGAGGACAGTGTAGGTCAGACAGGTGGGACCAAAGTGGGCATGTGTAAATAAAATCTGTACAGATTTCTTACAATTCCTTCATTTCTGACATTTTCAACCACATTTCAACAGGCAAGGAGGGAGAAATACTTCATACTTATAGTTTTAAAAACCAAAAGAAATGAAGAATGTACATAAGACGCCCGCCTGTTGGTAGCTGCATTTCCATTGACCATATAATTGAGCAATTTGGCATTTCAAAGTGAAAATTGCTTAACAGAAATAAGCCAAGTTCGAAAAAACTCATTTTTTGATAAAAACGTTTTGACCCTTGGATGAGGTGGGGTTTTTGGCCTCATCAAAATTGGTTTATTTTGCGAAACTGTGACGGAAACTTTTTTCACATCGCACAAGTCATTTGATTAGCAACCTGCTGTTACAAACCACAAAGACGACGACAACAGGAAATGGTCGGAGGACTTTCAACAACGTATCGCGTGAACAAACTTATTCACATGTGATTTCAACTGTGTTTCTCTTTTAATAGAAACTGAGCATTTGCATAATCGCAGAGGGTTTTTTCTACACTAGTGGAATAGTGACAAAGTTTTGCGCAGCTGGAGCGTCTCGTTAGCCTCATCGGCTCGATGTCACATACAAAACAGTTGGATGTGAAAACTGTTTCCTGCTGAGCAGGAAGCTGTCCGACTCAGAGCCCCATTGGAAAAAAAACGGCCTTTGCGCAGAGGTGTCTTTTAAAAAAATTTATATTTTACTTTTTATGTTGTTCAAAATAAACATTTGTTCACCACTGTTTTTCTTGGTCATAAAAACAGCTTACCAGCAAAAACACATCATTCCATTGTAATGCACGGCAGTGACCAGTGATGACGAGGGCTTGTTTCAACCAGAGCACCGTATGCTGGATACCAAAGGACTGTAAAGTCAAAAGGGGAGTTGGTCTGCTTCACCAGCTTCAGCTTGGCCCAAAGTGGCTCATTAACTGGGCCAGTACAGCAGAAAAATCCACAACAAGAATGGCTGAAAAATAAAATAATCAAGATGCTGCCATGGCTAATTAAAACATTCTAAATTAAATTGGGATTCAAGTGGATTTTAAAGCGAGAGGTGCAGAAACAAAAGTGAGCAAATATTCCTCCTCCACAATGTGGGCGATGAAAAGGTCACACAGAGAACATTATCATCATTATTGCTGCTAAAGGTGCTTCCATTTTGGCTAACAGCGTGGACTCTCTCTCTCTCTGCGTGTTTTTGCACTCTTGAGCTGAAACGTGAATAATTTTTACACAGCAGACACTGTTTCCCCGCAGAGCCCCAAAACGCCAACAAGCTTTCCGTCTAAGTGCTTCCAGTTTAAATCCGGTTTTGGTGGTGGCAGGTTGGGGAGAAGAAGGTAACTTATCCGGAGCTTTGTGGCGTTCTGGCAGCTGTGGCTTATCGGCGGGAACACAAGCGACTCTTTAAATAGCGCCTGAAAAAAAATGGAGTTTGTCAGCGGTTGTCCGAAAGCGACGACTGAGCACCATTGTGAGCTTTTGAGTGTGTGTGTGTGTGTGTGTGTGTGTGTGTGTGTGTGTGTGTGTGTGTGTGTGTGTGTGTGTGTGTGTGTGTGTGAGGCAGAGAGAAAGAGAGGGAGAGACGTAAGCGATATTTTCAGCCTGTGGCAGGAGTGGACACGTAAAAAGGCAGGAAGTGATTCAGAGTGGAAAATACTAAACGAAAATAATGAGAGGAAGCGTTTGAAAGGACGCAGAGGGTTGAACTGATAAAGGCTTGTTCCTGTGAAAGACAGGACTCACAGAAAGAAAGAAAGGAACGGTGGGATTTTTTTCTCCCTTTTTTGTCTCTGCTTCATCAAACACAATTAAACAAAACTGGTGCTGAGGCAGATAATCAGAAACCCGACTTAAAAGTGTCACCAACTCCCACGCGCATCCAAACAGAGCGGCGCGAGCTCTCGGTGTGTGGGTGTGTTAGCCGCGCGCTCTCAAAGCTCAACGACCCTCTCAGCGTTCCCGATAAAGGCGGCCACGGACTCTGTGTGTAATATTTATTTATTTATTGTCTGCAGGAGGTGTGTGGCGCATGGACCTGCTTTTTGACTGTTTTTTTTTTATATATACTTTTGTTTCTTCCTCCGTGTTAAAGGTGTAGCACATTCGGAGTTGAGGTCAGTTTAGGGCGTTTAAAAACTTACATGTGCAACATTTTACAGTAGAAATATCCATTCATGCCTCTGCACAGGGTGCTGCACGGTCTTCTGTCTCGGTGGCTGTAAGAGGCCATCTGTAGGGGAGCTGATGGAGAGTCAGGAGGCACGCTTTGACAGCTGTTTCCTCAGGATGCTCTTTTGCTTTTCTTGAAAGCTTTAGTTTATCTTTGGTGCTCGAGACGTAATTTCTAGCCCTCCTTCCCATTCCTCTGCCTTCTGATCTAACTTAATATGCCTTGGCTTCTGGAGATAACTAGCTCTAATGTGATTCGTGATATTGGTGCTTTTTATCCGGGCGGCTTCCTGATGTTTTCAGACAGCAGTCTGAAATATTGGGTCCAAACATCACTGTGGGGAAAAGAGGCCTGCAATAAAAAGCAATTCTATTGAAATGGCTTTGAAATAATAGGCAAACACCGACGTTGTAGAAATTGCCCACAATTGTCTTTGGTACAAACACCGAAATAGTCTGTTGACAAAAAAAGTCAATATTGAGATCTCATATTAAATTACAGCCTTTTAAATTTTTTTTTATAAAGCACACCTCACAGATTTTTATAAAGTGCCTCCAAAATACATTGTCAAAACTTTGGATGTTTTACCCCTTTTTTTTGGTCAAGAAATCAATTTTAAAAAGTTCTTTTCTTTTTTTTATTGATTTCTGTTTTGTTTTTGTTGGGGTTTTTTGGCAAAACATTTACAAAAAAACACCCTGTGTTAATGGAACTGTTTTCCACCAAAAAACCCCTGAAATAACAAACAAAGATAACAATGGAATAATTTTTTTTTTGTACATGAATAAGTAGATTGCATGAATATTCACCTCTTTCAAGTTAGTGGTAGAGGAACCTTTGACTGGCTGAAGAGAAAGTCACAATCATAAAAATAGGTGTATGTCACGGTGTCCCGCATCCCTAGAATGTTTTCAGCTTGTGTATCAAAAATTATGGTCTTTATTTTAAAAACATAACTTAGCTTAAATATGTTAATCACAGGTCTTAAATTTTTATAAGTTAATCTCTTGTACTCTTTTCCGTCAGACTAAAGTTTGAGCCATACTCAGATGACTTTGTTGCCTTCGAGGCGGTGGAGGCTACCGCTAACTAGCTGCTAATGTGCTTGCTTGTGCTAGCTGGGTTTTTTGCGTTCGTCATGGGTAAATTCAAATGTAGTGACAGTTGTTTGGATGATGTTCCTCTTCGCTATTGCCTAATTTCTAGTGCCAACCCATTTGATGCTAAAGTGAATTCTGTACAAAAATCATCTACAGTCTTTACAATGAAGACTGTAGATTTGTGTACATTTGTGTCATGAAACAGGTCTTAAATTTTATTCATAAATGTCTTTAAAAGGTCTTAAAGAGTCTTTAATTTGACGAACCCCGTGGTGAAAATAATCCACGCTGTAATCCAGGGGACGAATGTTAACATCAGCAGTTTTTATGCTAATTACTTTTAATCCATTTTCAAATTCAAATACAAAAATTGCAGCTATAAGCCAAGCCTGTCCTAATAACATCAAAAGATTCAAGTACCGTGGATTCATGAATTTTTAGATTTGTCTTTCAAAAGCAGGTTGTCATACAATCTGTCAGGGATAATGTACTTCAAAACTAACAACCATCAGACAAAGACAAGGTGGTACATTTTTTTTGTTGTGTCACTGCGCAGATGTGAAGCACGACCTCAACGCCCTGACAGAAGGAGGCGAGCCTTGCCAGGTCATCGAGTCCCGGTTGGGTCGATCCAGCAGCGCAATCAGCTCCAAAACATCATGAAGTGTCGGGTCCAAGCCCGCATTTTGGCCATGCTGAGCCAGAGAACTTTATATCAAAGCGTTTTTCTCTTGTAATCAGGGCAAAGTGTGCGTGAGCGGCCGGGGCGGCGGCTCTGTAAGAAGGGGATGTGAACGAGCGCGGCGCCCGTGTACGCGTTTCTCGGGTCCTTTGCCAGGGTTTATGTAGAGCTTACAGTAGCACAACAGGGGTGACAATCTGCTTTATTCACCAACGTTTGGTGTATACGTTAAAAGCGTCGGCGTGGGCGTAACGTTCGGCGTTTCTGCTCACTGAAAGACGAGCTGCTGAAAGGCTCATCTTCTAAACTGAACCTGAGAACGCAGAGAAAATGTTTGTACTGCAGCTAAAGTGGATCCAAACGCTGTACAACCCCCCGCTGTCCTGCATTCATTATTCAGAGCAGGAATTAGAGTACGTTAGATTTTGTGTTGAATTACTTTTCATTTACATGCATCTGTTCTCAAGAGAGGACTCTCGTTTGTCTGCTGTTCTCAGCGGTGGAGGAAGGAAGGAAGGAAGGAAGGAAAAGGGAAAGTGGATTATTTAAAAAGCTGGGCTCAGTGAAGTGCAGCCCGGCTTCTAAGGGGAACTAATAACCCCACATTTACAACAAAGACCTATTTATCAAGGATACAAAGCACTTAGAGACTATTAATTAATCAGCAGCCCTTACACAGAAGGTCTTCCTTAAATGTCCGACTGGTCTGCTTGTTGTTTGCCGTGTTTCTTGTGTTCTCAGGGTTAGACAGAAGTAGACTGGCATCAGATTCTCAGCCTGTAAACAATTCTTAATGGATTTTCAATCAGAAAGCTTCTTGGTGTCCACCTCTTGAGGCTCCTCTCTGGACTTGGCACAGTGACCTATGGGAAGGCTGCACATCTCTTTTGAAGATTCGGTTGCTACGGCAGCCGTAAACACTCCGGATTTTCAAAAAAAATAAAAATAAATAAAAAATACATTTCTCAACACCCTCCCCTGCTTTCCATCTCTACCCAGTACTGCGCTGGTCTAGTTTTTCTCCTGCCGTTTCCACCTACACAACCGGAGTAGCTTTTTCAAAACAGATTCTTCTTGTGGGATTCTCGGTTGTGCGATAGCCTGGGAGATAAAAGAGACGGCTCTGAACCCTGAGCTGCAAGAAATAATCCTTTGGAGCCTCTTGGGACAATGGAGGAAAAGACGAGAGAAATACTGTAACATCGAGCAGCGCCAAAAGCGATGTGTTGCTTATTCACGAAATGGGTGTGGATGTGAGACAGAATAACAACAACGTCCATTTACAGATGTAGCCCTGTGCAAAGTAATTCATATGCCTTGAATATTTTCACTTTACAGCCATAAATGCATGTATGTAGAGACGGACTCACCACTAAAGCTTTGCTGGAGAGTATTAGTGAACAAATAGCATTGTGAAGATAAACACCATCCATCATCCATAACGTCAAACCCGCCAAAGCCATCCATCTAAATGGTAAGAGTCAGTAAGGAGAGCATTTAATCAGAGAAGGAACCAAGTTGTCCGTGGTTACGGTGGCCCAGAGGGGACAATGAAAAAAGTCACAACTGCAACAGCTGCGAGACGACAGTGAAACCAACGCCGTGTTCAAAACAACGCAGCATCATTTCTGTTCATTCTGAAACAGAAGTGATGCTAAATTTGCTAGCATCTCCTCTGTTACAATACAACTTCCGCTTTGGCTTGTGTTGTTTGTGTTGCAGCTTTTATTAGTTGTGATGTGGTTTTAGTTGCTATTTGGCTTTTTGTTGTCAGTTTGTGGCTTTGGTTTTGTTGTAACTTTACTAGTTTGTTGACTCTTGTTGTGTTGCTTAACAGCAAGTTGTTTTTGCGACGCTACTTTTCATTTGTGGCTTCTTCGTGTTCCATTGTAACATTTGTTATGTTGTGGTATTTGTTGCTACTTTGTGGCTTGTTGTTTTTTTGCGATGCAGCTTTTTCTTTGTTACATTTTGTTGTTATGTTGTAAGTTTTTGTTGCTTTGACACTTTTTGCTGTTGTCGTGGCTTTATTGTTTTCTTGTGACTTTTGCATTTTGTTGACCTGTCTGGGCCTCTGTACATGGTGAATTTTCTCCAGACATCCACACCTCAGAAGGGAAAGTCTGTCAATTCAGCAACTATTGTACAAATCTGAAGTGAGTGGAGAAGTGAAGCCAATGTTGAATGGAAGTTAGTAGACGTTCTTAAATGCGGCAATGAGGACTTACTGTCAGATAGACCAAAAATGCTACATTGTAGCTAGATGCAAAACATTAGGTGTGCTGAAATCACTCTTGATACACTTTCCCCCTTTGAAACACAGCAGCTGGTCAGAGGCTGAATATGTCTTGAGATGAGGGCAGAGCTTTTCCTCCCAGTGGAAAGGTGAACCAAGATGTCTTTAACACCAACACCACGAAGCTTGTGGGCTCTCTACTCTTTTTGTTCTGCTTGTTGGTTCATTAAATTACAAGAAATGCAGCCTTTTTTCTCTTTTAGGAGCTATTGTTGTTCATGTCATTAGTTATTCTAAAATATGTCTTCCAGGCATGTCATGATCCCACGGTGTAGCAGCTTTAAATCTTTAAAGTAGGTATCGGAGTGAAAAGACCTCAAGGTGAACAAGGATCATTTGTGTTAAGCCTTCTATAATTTCCATTCTCCATCATATCGCTGTATCCTTCCTTACGCTGGTGAAGGTAGTGGCCGTTGTTAAACCCAAGTGCCTGATATTTATGTCTGTGCCACCGTACTGTGTGATTTCTCCCTCTCTGCATTGGTCAGTGCCTGCATCGCCATTGATGTTTTCTTCTCCCCCCTCCGCCATGGGACAGCATGCTGCCCTCTGTCTTCGACCCCTGCACTGTTTGACCTCTGCTTCCCTCCAGCCGATCTGACCTGACCTCTGCTCTCTTCCTTCAGGCTAGCCACACCGGTATGCGTTCATACATTTACAAGCAGAGCTCTGTGATTGGCTCGCAGGCAGAGCACACTGGCATGCGGACGTATTACTTCAGTGCCGACACCCAGGAGGACATGAGCACCTGGCTGAAAGCCATGAACCAGGCTGCGCTGATGCAGAACCACCCCGATAGGCTCAGGTAGGCCTTCACACCTGAAACCTTAAAGCACACGTTGCCAGAGGAGTTTGGTTCTCACATGAGGTCCTTTTCTACTTTGGCATGAATGTATATGGCAAAGAAAAGATGTTCATTTGCGACATATATAGCTAATAGCTGAAGTTTCCGAACGTTTCCATGACTCCCCCAAACATTAGCTTCTGTCTGAGGACCTGCATCGAAAACCAGCAGAGAGTTATACAAAATATGTAAAGAAACATCAACTTTCAATGTTTTTTTTTTCTTCACTTTTATTCACTATTGAATAATTATTACATTACATGATCTTCTCATACCTTCTGATCTCAGTTGGCCACTAGGTTTCTTTTTAGTCAGAAACTTTTTGCACCATTTTGCACTTGTGTTAGCATAGCTAGCTGTGGTGGCATAGCTAGCACTGCCAGCTGCACGAGGTTGAGGAGTAAAGCAGCTTAAAAATCAAATAAATTAGCATGGCAAATAACATTTAAACAATTATTTGAACTTTGTAATAACAATTGGAAAAACAGACTAGATTTTGATCGAATTTGTGTTTTAAAAAAATTATTAGATTTTATTATTTTTTTCTCATCTTCTCTTTAACTTTCTGAGGCCCTCGTAGTGCCCCCTGGTGGTCCTCCACCTGTAGGACCCCGTTGTCAGACTATCAATTTTGATTTTTAGGAAAGGTCAAAGGTCAAAAACAACTTGCAATGAGTGAAACCCTGTTTATTCTTTTTCTCAGAAAAACTTTCCTAACAAAAGAAAAGGCATCAGTTGGCTCTTGCTGTTTGTTAGAAATCATATTTAATGATGGGGAGCATAATCAGTACCAAATATGTCTATGTGCCTTAGCAAATATAGGTATTTTCTTTACAAACAAAACACTGACATCAAAATAACTAATATAAATTGTACATGTGTCCAGAAACAGCTAGAAATCATCATAAACTATTGTGAAAGATCTGACTTTTTGCCTTCAGCAGGGGGTGAAGGCAATCAAACCCCTATCTTCAAAAAACTATTTTTATTTTTATCAAAATTGAAAGTTATTTTTCCGGAATTTTTTGACTCCCCTAGTTTTGCTTCTGATGGGGGAATATTGCTCTGTTATCGTCACAATCAATTAAAATATTTTTTTGGACAGTTATAAACATTTATCACAACATTTAGTTGTTCTTTGTCATGATAATGATGAAAGTGATGAATGCATTAAAAATTCATGAGTCTTTATGGCAACATCTGCCACAGCATAAAGCCAGAGGCAGAAACACTGCTCTAAAAATCAAGACACGCTCATTCAGGATGGGCTACATAATGCAGTTTGTCAGCCAAATTAATTAGTGTAACTGATCCACTAAATATTTGGGGTTTGAAAACATGACCAGTGTGAATTTATGATGATAAGTCTCATATTTTTCCCCTGGTAACAATAAAGGATGTGATAGTTACTGATACTGTGGCTTTTTGAGTTTGTCAAGTTTATGTATTATTTAGCACATTTAGCAAAAACACAGTCCAAAGTTCTTTGAAAAACATCATACAGCACCAAGCAGTAAATATTACATTTTGACAAAATGCCATCATTAAAATCATCAAATATATTAATTAATGTTCCAGTTATTATTAATCAAAAGCAACTCTAAACAAGTGGGGTTTTAGCCTTGATTTAAAGGTGTTCAGTGTTTCGACTGTTTTGGAGTTTTCTGAAAGTTTGTTCCAGGTTTGTGGAGCATAAAAACCAACAATCAATAGCTTCTAATAGGAGTGGACAGACGTCACATGTGGCGTACCCCAAGGTTCAATCCTAGGACCCCTCCTATTTAATATCTACATGTTCCCGCTGGCTCTGGTTCCAACAAGTAACAACTCAGGGTTTTTACCGCAGTGCTTTTGTGTTGAAAAATGTTAAAAGTTCCAAATATTTAGAGGTCCACAAGCAGGTGTCATAATCTGGAAAAAATAGCATGTGAGGCAGGTGCAGGAATGATGCAATTGGCGTGCATCACTTTGCATGCAGTTTAATGCGTCAGCTATAAATGATAGATGAATTAACCTAGCTTAATTCATCTTTACCGTCACCGTTGTACAAACAACCCTATTTAAAATAAGCAAACAAAACTTAGCCTGGTAGGGGGGAAATAAAGCCTGGTGGCCCGCCAGACTTATTGTAAATACACTGGAGTTAACCTTGAATAAGATTAGCTAGCATAACTGCGCAGATGATACACAGCTCTACATTACGTCGCCAGGTGACAATGCACCTTGAAAACATCATTGTGTGGATGTGCCACGACTTTCTCCAGCTAAACAAAATCAAAACTGAAGTTACTATCTATCCATCCATCCATTTTCCAACACCCTTGTCCCCAGTGGGACTGGGGGTGTGCTGGTGCCTGTGACCAGCAGACGTTTCCGGGGAGAGGCGGGGTCACCCTGGACAGGTTGCCAGTCCATCGCAGTGATGTTATTACCTCTGGACCTAAAGAGAAACGATCAAGAAAGATCATGCAGCTTCAGTTATTGCAGCTAGAAACTAGGTCTGTAATGTATTCTGGTGCTAAGAACATTAAGTGATTTATCATCTAACATTTTAATGTCTATTCTCTGATCTATTTGACTTTATGCTTCTCTCTGCCTTGAAACTCACCACTTCCCATTAAGTATTCAGCCTCTCATAGAATTGAATATTGGAGAGCGCCTTGTTCATCAGCCTTTGATAATATGTATGACATCTTGGTTTCTCTCTCTGGCTTGTCTTTGCTCTGTGGTTGCTTCAGCGTCCGCTCCGTGCGCAGCGTGTTTGTTTTTGTGCTTTGAGACGACGGCGTTTTTGAACCATCGGCGGCTCCCTTCATGCGTTATTAATGCGTTGACGATGGGAGGTAGCGCAGATCAAATACGTGCGGCCCCTCGCTGGCTGGCTCAGATGCTGCCCACTGCCGCCCCCCTCACACACTCCCGTCCTTTCTCATTACGCCATTCTTACGAGAGGAAATCCCACAACGCACCGCTGCCAGCTTCTGAATGACAGAAAGAAAGCCGAGCCCCCGACAGCTTCCAACCGGGAGTTCTCTGAAGTTTCTGTGAAAGCTCCCTCTTTTCCAGTTTGCTTGCCTGCGGAAGCCGTGACAGTAGCACTAACACTGTTGCACTTTGTTGTTGCTAAAATTTTCTGTGGTAGCGTTTATTTTTCATGAGTATTGACAGGATGCAAAGGGAAACTAGCATCAAATGGGGTCAACGCAGTCGCCAGTGTGCCAGTTTTACTGAATTATTTTTAGATAGTAGCTGCCAGGAAGGAGAATCTTGGCACCACAGGCTTTCCTATTGTTATGCAAGGTTTTTCTTTCATGACTGGAACCTGAATATTTCTTAAGGCTTTTTCATGTTGGACTTAATTAATGAGTTTCGAATCAGCTTGTGCCTCTAAGGCTTTGCTTGTCAGCTGTAATGCTTTAAAAAAAAGATCTGCACAATGTATTTAGTTCTGTCCTTAAAGTAGAAGATGAGGCTTAAAAATTCTCTTTTATGCAACAGCCGTCTACTTTCGATTCTGTTCAGGACAAAAAAACAAAGATCTGAACTCTCAGATGTTCTGAAGATTAAATTACCTTAACGAGCCTGTTATTTAGTGAGCAATTAGATATAAATGACTTTTTTTTTTAAAACAAATTAGCCAGAGAATGTCTTTAGTTTTTTATCACTAGAGGCGCCTTGCTGTAAGTATTCATGCCCCTTGAACTCTTCCACACATTAGCCAAAACTATGAATAGCCCATAAGAATCTGAAGCAAAATTATGAACCATTTTCCAAACAAAAACCTGAGAAGTATATGTATGTTTGACTTTATGCACCTTTATTTTAATACCCCTAAAGAAAATATACTTAAAAAGAATATGTGTTCATGAAAATTCATGCAAAATCAACAGAACCCTGCAGTTTTTTGTGCTTATCCGTAGTTATGAGTTTATTGCAAATTTTCTGCAAAAATTGTAAGAAAAAACATTGAGTGCCATTAACCAACTCCCACCTGTAGGAGGCAGTACTTCTTACTTCTACAACACTACGGCCTCTGCCTTATTAATATTGATAACTTAATATTGAACAACATATGATCTGTGGCAAGCTCAAACTTTTGAGCTTTGGGTATTTTTGTAGTTTCATTGAATTATTTAATATTATCTGACTGTGTGTCTCCTCTGCAGACCCGTTGACAAAGTCACCGCGTTGTTGCAACAAGCTGTCCCGCAGACAAACCACGTGAATCACCAGAAGACCATGAAGACCAGGGACTCTGAGACCACAAAAGCAATTGTCCACGAAGTTCTGCTGGAGCCCATCCACCGAAACGCAGAGGAGCTCTACAGCTTTCACCAGGAGGCCGGCAGCGTCACCCTGGAGCGCCATGGGGGGACCGCCTGTTTGGAGACGGACAAACAGAGCCCCCTTCCATCCAGACCGCCAGCCGCCTCTGCCCTCCCGCTGTCGGACCGCGTGTCCGCGTCTGCTCCCGTGTCCAGAGTGACGTCCCGCGCTCCGTCACGAGCCGCCTCGACGTTGCCTTCCAGCCTTTGCACGAGGAACGGCCTGGTGTCCACGCCCAGCCCCATCCTGGAGCCCAACGGCATCGCAGCGGGGACGTACCAGAGGGCGCCGGAGCCAGCAGCCTCCGACACGTTCAAGCATCTGCAGAGAAGAAACACTCTGGAGCAGGTGGAGCAGTGGGTCAAAGTTCAGAAGGCTGAGCAAAGGGGGTAAGTCAATATTGTTCGTTTTGCATAAAAACTTTCTGATTTTAGTCATTTGATTTTCAGCTGTAAAAAATTCTTTGAAACAGAACTTCACTTTTGATAAGCTCGTGAAGAACATCTTCCCTTAGAGTCCTGCTTTTGATACCATCTGTGCACATTTGTCGCGGAAATGCAGCTATTGACTCTTTACTTTAACTCAAAGCTTACAGCCTTTCCACTGTAACTTCTTATTACAGTGCTTTTATTTTCACTTTATGTTGTAAATTGTTGCTGGGTGTTTTGAAAGACGCTAGAAATTCGGAGACTCTTAATGGTTATTACTGTGTTGGGGGAAATGATTTCTGCCTTATTCCTCTTCAACAGCCCTCCCTCCAGAGAAAACACCCTTCCCCGTCGGACGCCGCCCACTCAGCACAAGTACACCTCCATGGATGCCTTTCAGACTTTGCCAAAAACTCCACGCCACAGCCCCCCGTCGGGTCGACTCGGCGAGTACAAGTACGCCCAGGACCGGCTGAGCCACTTCCGCCTCACCCCAGACCAGGGGCGCTCGGGGTCCAACACCGTGCTGCAGCTGTACGAGTGGCAGCAGCGCCAGCAGTTCCGTCACGGCAGCCCCACGGCGCCCATCTACACCCCGGCCCCGGATTACCCGTTCGGGCCCCGGCCCCCATCCACCGTGCCGCCCTCCTCCTCGTTGCGCAGGTCGGAGGGTTCTCCTCGCTGCGTGTCGGTGCCGCCGTCTGCGGCAGACATCCCACCACCGGGGCCTCCGGCCGGCACCAGCAGGACGCTGTCGCCCAACCGAAGGCCGCACACTCCCGCCGAACGGGTGACCGTAAAGCCTGCTGGGGATGGGCCTTTGCTGAACGTCCCCTTCACCGTGTCCCCCCGAAGGAGCAAGTCTCAGATGCTGAAGGTAAGAATGATACTCAACAGAATCAGAACAAACTTCTTCTACATTACTGCATTTTTAGGAGTTTACCCTCCAATAAGACGGTCAGCAGTGGTGGAGGTAGTGGGTGTTTGTTTGCCTGATTTTGTTTTCCTGCATCCCAGAAGAAAATATCACAGATTTAGAACAGTGAAATCCTCTTTTTCTTGGAATATAAATTTGTATGAAAGTATAATATTAATATAGACGTTTATATACTGCAACTTAAACCTTACTTTAGTGATGGTAGTAAATCTACAGGGTCTGTAGCTCCAGCTCACCCACATCCGTCTCTCCTGTCATTAACTACCAACACGGACGTCTGTGTTGCAGGCTGCTACTATTGAAAGACGCTCGATGCCTCAAACTGGCTACATCACTCACACAGTCAGCGCTCCAAGCCTTCACGGCAAGACGGTATGTTTCATAACTGCATTCAGTTCTTATGCACACAATGCCAAAACCTATCAGACTTCAACAGTTTGTGGATTCATTTCCTGGTCAGTTGGCTGTTGATCAGAGAACTGTGAAGTCCACTTTATGTGTAGCAGATTTTTGTTTCAGCCTCGTTAATCTTTAATTAAGCTGCAGTTCTGCTTATCAAGATCAGAGATGAGTCACATGACATATTGCAATGCAAAAACTTTCTACTGCAAATATCTTAGTGCGCTCGAAATAAGACCGTGCTACCTATTAATAATAAAGAGCAATAGCAATGATCCATAAGGTGTGACATTTAGAAACATTAACACCTATTTGAATTCAAATAATGAGTTTTTTGACCTGGTGAAATTACACAAAGCCAAAAACAAGCAATCTTTGGAAAACGTTTAGCAATTGTTCAAAATGAAAGAGCATATTTATAAGTTAAAGAAGAGGAATCACAGTTTGAAATATGCAAATTCAGATCTACTAGAAAAAACTTGAATCATTCAATATTGAACTTGGAACAAACAGTTCAAATGATCAGATAAACAGGATTATTCCTGGATATAATGCATAACATTATAGTCAATTGTTCCTGGTTTTGTTTCTTGGTGAAATTGAAAGGAATAGTCATTGTTCATCTGCCATATTTAACATTACATGCAATATTGATGATGAGTTTGCTATTAGTTACTGGTTTAGTTGGCACATGTATGAACTATATGTTAATGTAGATGGTTAAGGAGGGGGAATTTTGATAAGTTTATACTTCTACCCACTTCTATGAGTTTGTAAAACAAAAGCTTTAACGTTAAGGTTCATGCTGTATTTTTTGTACATATTCAAGAAATAAACAAGTAACTTTTCAGCAAGAAACACAAGCTTGTTGATGAAAAAGTATTAGTTATTAGAGAAATAATCTGCCAACATAATAAGACATTTTAACGTGGACTTAGACATTTGGAGTAGAATCTAGATTTTGCTACGATTTTGTGCTTTTGCGTCCTCGCCGCTGTGAAAGTGAAGGTTTTGAAGAGCTGAGTGGGTTTTTGTTCAGCATGTGAGGTCAGTGTTGAGAGCTGCCAGACTGAATATCCTGCGGTGCCTCCCGACAGCCGGAGGAGCTCACGCTGCTCCTCATTCAGCTGCGCCGCCACCAGGCCAAGATGGCCACTGTGCGTCAGCAGACCTTAGCTCACATCCAGCAGCTAAGCGCTCCCAGAGAGTCCTACCACCAAAACCGCCTCCTGACCGCTGTCGCCGCGAGCGACAGCCCCCTCCTCAGCGCCACTGCGTCTCCCGAGTCGCACCTCGGAGATGTCGGCCCCTGCAGCGTCCAGGTGGGGCCCCGAGAGGCATGGCTACCCCTCCCTCATGTTACCAGGAGCTGGTAAAGGCTGCCACTAAATCTTCATTAAAGGTTTTATAACATTAAAATTAGGCATATAAAAAAAGAACTTTGACAATGTTACTTTCTTATGCAACATACATCATCAGATTTTATTTGTTATAAAATTTAAATGTTATTGTACTGACAGAGCTTTACATCGGCAAATGTCTAAAGCTGGTAGAAACGTCATAAATTAAGTGAAATACAGTTTGAAATGACTTGTTTGCGTTGTTGTTTTACATAAAATCCTAATAAAATGGGTCAATCTTTGTGGTGGAAACACTTCTGCTAATGCACTAAGGACAGAGCTAATTTTTTGTTTCACGCTTTGGCTAACTTTGAAAAGCTTTAGCACACTTAGCTTCCCTTAAAATAAATTTTCCAGATAAACACTAAAGCGGTAATTGACTTGGTTGTTTTGTAACATTTCAGGTGAATAAAGTTCAACGTCTTTGTTGAAGTTTTGGTTCTCAACTGTTAGGAGTTGAAGCTGTTTATATTTATCTCTTATTTTGCAGTTGTTGAAGACTGTTTACTCAGCAGTTTAGTTTTCTCTTCATTCCTCTCTCTCTTTTTCCTGTTAACTTTCAGACTACTGGTCTTTCGAGGGCAGATATATTTTGCGTTGACGTTAGCGCTTTAGCATTAGCTTTCACTAATTACCATGTTGGTGTAGTGCTTAGATGTTACACCAACGCTAAAGCATTGCTAGTTACTAACGATTTAGCATTAGCTCCTACTAAACACTGTGTTGGTATGGCACTTAAACATGACACCACAGCTAAATAGTTGCTAATATTGGTGCCTTAGCATTAGCTTCCACAAAATACCATGCCAGTGTAGCACTTCAGCATTATTAGTTTATGATTAATGATTTAAGGTTAACACAACTAACTGTTTAGTGTCCACCACTGGTGGTAACATAACATTTTTTGCCAGTCACTGTGTAATATTGATAAGGAATGCTGTGTAAACCTGGACTTCATGACCAAGCAGCGGCCTAGTTCAAGCAGTGGCAGCCTCCACTCACTCCCCTCCTCACTGAGCGCTGGCCGGGCTGCAGAGACCCATCCACCTCTTTACCATCTGCTGCTCTTTGGCTGATCCGTCTCCATGTCGTGCTTCTGCCAATGTCATGTGATAGCATGATGTGTTGCGATCCCTTTGACGTCCACAAAGCCATCCCATGCTTCAAGCGATCCGTTTCGCCGGGTCTGATTGCGTGCCGATCGGTTTTGGTCTTGGCAGTGCGTGACGTTCCTTTTGGTCCTCGTCATGAAGCTTGTTTTGATGTTGCCTGTCTGTGAGACGAGTTCACGGCTCCCTCTGAAGGAGTTGGTCGCTCTTTTTTTATCTGTTGTGGACAACGTTTTTAACCGGCTCTTAAATCGAAACGAGTGCAAGACATTTTTCAGTGTGGGTGCAACTTTGTCATTCTGCATGTCAACAGGAAATCCGTGGTTGATGCTCGGGGTGCACCGATCGATTTCATTCACTTTAGGCGATCTGTTTACTTCCGCACAGATGTGAAGATCAGTCACTGTCCCCGTCTGGTCATTTGTGAGAGAGGGCTGGTGATTGGCCTGAAAACTGCAACCGGTGCACCTCGAGTTGATGCTTCTGTTGAAGAGTCAGACTGCACATTATTGAGTTTGTTTTTGAATCGGATGGTTTTCACCCTCTAGGCCGATGACACGTACATGCAGCTGAAGAAGGACCTGGAATATCTGGACCTAAAGGTGAGAAAACAAATTGCACAGCTCAGTCAGTTGTATTTTCTCTGATTTGAAAAGCCTCAGACTAACACACCTTTGTTACTGACTGCACCCTTCTGTTCTACGCCCGACCCTGAATGGTTGACCCAAAACATTCCAGCTGTAGCTCCAGATTATTTAATGCTGGTGTTTCTCCCAGTCGCTTGACCTGCTGTTAGAAGCGGCCGTTGTGTTGTGACTGCGGCTCTTGTTTCTCTGTGATTTCTGACTCCCAGATCAGAGCTCTAGAGCCGCTGATCCTCGCAGTTCACAGTTTACTACTGCACTGCACTGCTGGGCCACTCAGGCCTTTAATGAACGTAAGCTCTATTTGTATGTAGCTACGTGTCTCTGTGTCCGGTAAATGTTCTGCAGCGTAGCCTGTGTGTGTGCGTGTGTGTGTCTGCCTGTGCATGTTTGTGTCATGGCGAGAGCGGGCAGGTTTCTGTGTCGTGCTCTATAGTAAGACCATCCCATCGCTTCGCAGTGCTACATTCACAGCTCAAACGGCATCGTGACTCCATACCTCCCCTCCACTGTGTGGCGATGTTGGCCAGGCTGTTGAGTACTGGGCATGGGATGGCTCGGCAGTGCATGTGTTGTGGCTGTGGCTGTGATCCGGTGGTTGAAAAGCCAGCTGCTTCTACCATCGCCTCTGAAACGCTGCACCTCACTCACAAATTGTTTTCCCCGATGAAAAAATTGATCTTTCAGTGATAACCTAATTGTTAAAACTGATATTTGACAACTAGGTAAAAAACATTTCTGAAGTGTGGTTTTGTTGAGAGGTTCTGAGCTGTTACTATCTTACTTGCACCCATGTGAAGATGTTTACGCTGCTGGTAAGTACCAAAAAATTGATTTTATTTTGTGCTGAAAACCAACTAGAAGTGAATATACTTTCATTAAATAAAGTAATAGTTTTCTAAAATATTTTACACAAACTCTTAAAATAATTTTGCTATCCTATTACTAATCAGAAAGATAGCGGTGTATTGAAAAGCTGAGTGAATAGAGCGTCGATCTTCACATGGATGATGAGACAAATTGTTGGTCAATTGCATAAAAATCACTTAGGTGGTACGCAAAACATCAGCAGAATGTGCCAACTTTTTTATCCCAATTAATTGATTAATCGTCAGAATAAATCAATACAATAACCAATTAATAAAATAATTATCTGTAGCCCTAAAATATTATGTTCAAAGAGACGATGCTTTCTCCAGACAACACTTGCAAACAACAAGTTAAACTTGTTCAAATTTTGTTTTCTTCAAACTTCACATTATACTGAAAACCTGTAGTTTCAGGTTTATTGCAGTTTTCCCGACCATTTTCCCATCTGACCCTGGGCTGAATCCACTGACACCTCCACTCCTGTAAAGATGGGCAGCTGCCTTAAATGTTTTCCGTTTGTAAATAGTCTTTCCTGTTGTAAAATATTGGGTTTCAGATTGGTTGGAAATGGCCTTAAAACCACTCCTAGATTGAAGGACAGCCACAGTTGCAGGGCGTCGCAGATGCCTCTCCACCTTGGCATTTTAACAACACCCACCTGTTTGCTCTACAGCAAGAATCACCCCACCTTCCTGCTTTACTGTTTGGGCTGAAATGATTAATCGGATTAATTGCGAGGAATCGATGATTGAAATAATCATAAGCTAATATAAGAACTGGTTAATCGTTAACTGGCAAACTAAACAAAAAAAAAGACAAATTGTTGAAAGATCAACATATTCAGAGCATGTAAACTAAAAAAACTTTATGAATATGTTCCACCCAAAACATCTCTAGAGGCCTGGTTTTAGCTCCACTTGTTTCTAGTGCTGTAAAATAACAAAAACTTTAACACCATTTGCTGTCAAATTATTGACTGTGACATTAAGTCATTCAGAAAGAGTTGAGTTCTTCACATGTCGATGTTAGAAAGATTTTTTTAGCCGCAGAGGCACTGATGGTAGAGCGTCTGCTAAAGGAATGCTGTCGTTAAAATTTAGGTAATGAAATGTCTATTTTCTTATTTAAAAAATACTTATTATTTCTTTATTTTCATCTTTTAATGTATTTCTGATATTGTATAGAAAAGACGTGGTTAAGTTGAAAAATCTGCAAAATATGCCAAATTTTTAAAGCGACTAATCATCCTAATGATTGATTAATCGATAACAAAAAATGTGTTAATTGCTTTTATTTTGCTAATGATGCACTTATCTGCTGCGTCTTTCATTTGTCCCTCCAATAGAAGCATCAGCTCATCATTATTAACCTTTCAACAGAGCCTCACGTTTTTCAGAAATCCAACCTGTCCCTTTAAATGAACCCTCACCTGTGTTCTCAAACCTTCTCCTGTCAGACGGATGAATAATCTGAAGGCAACAAAGGTTTTACAGGCAAGTGAATATTGTGCAGAGCTTCAAAGTGTCCATAGCCACCGTGTCGTTCATGACCAGAAGTCGCCTCACCTTGTTCAGGTTCACAAGGACAAGTGAATGTCAACGACAGTCTCCCCCTTATTTGTGGTAGCTCACAGCTGCTCCCAGTGTTCTGCGCTTCCCTTTGTCTCAGCGCTAATGTAGCGAGGAGCCAGACGCCTCGCCTCAGCAAACAACTAACATCTGGGTCTGCTTACGTTGAAATGTTGCAGGTAGCTGGAAGTCAGGCGCTGAAGGAGGCGGGGAAGCCTGTCAAGGTTGCAGAAAGCGATGTGGACGTGAGTATGATGATCCACACGCTGGAGCCATTTTAACCACATAAATAATCTGATTGAAATCCTCTTTAGGCAGGTTGTCAGTTTATTGAATTTCTCCACCAACATTTATGGATTTTCAATAGAATTAGAACAGAATTTATTTTCTCTTCTTCCTTCCTTGTGGTTCTTAAAGTCATTTAAAACCCGGCCTTGTTAGAAATCTCTGCTGTGAATTCCTGCTGACCTTCTGGATCTGAACTGTGGAAGGGAATCAAAGGACTGACGTCTTTGTGAATTTAAAAAGAGGTTAAAACATGGAATCTGCAGATTAACTATTTATTGGAGGTATGAATACTTCTGATAAGACATTAAAAGGTAACTCAGTGATTTAATAAAACATTAAAATAACAGGTTTGACATTCAACAGATGGCTTCTGGTAAAAAAAAAATATATATATATCTATATGTAACCTCTTTGATAAAGAACAAGGACACTGGCAGTGCCTTGAAAAGATCATTTTGTTTACGCCGTCTTTTTCTAAAAAGCTGTAAATGCAGCACTTTGGCCTTTTTCCTCTGCTGCCCATAAGCAAGCAGAGATTGAAAGCCGTTGAAAACAGCAACTCAGTTCACTCAGAGTCAGAAGTAACAAACGGCTGTCCTCACTAATATTTATTTAAAAATGTTCAATATGATATTTTTTTGTTAAATTATTAATTCAAGCCCAAAAAAATATATAAAATATTCAACAGCGCCGCCCTGTACTGTACTGATGTTGGGTGAAGTAGAAAGAGTTTGTCGCATGTTGCAGATGCATCCTTTGCTACAGATGATCTAGAGGAATGTTCTTTATCTTCGGATTTAAAAAAAGGAATGTATTTGTTCATTTGCATATTTTAGTGTATTTCTATTATTGTACGAGAAATCTGCAGAATGTGCACATTTTCATCAGAATAATTGATTAATTGTTGGAACAATTGATTAATCGTCAGAATAGTCAATTAACTGTCAGAATAATTGATTAATAAATAAGTTCTGTGAATCACTAATGGAGGTTTTTTTCCACCTTCTGCTGCTTTGATCTAATGAAATCAATGTAAGTTTTTATTGTTAGCTCTTCTGGCAGCAGAAGCATCCAGAAACAGTGGACTCTGTTCATCTTTGACTCGGATAATCCAAACAATTTTCCAATCCTTACTTACACTATTTATGAACGTTCATGTGAAAGGACTCGATTATACAGCCATATCCCAAGAACGGGGTTCACCATGGAGACCACAATAATGTGTCAGATTGAAGCTCAATTGTAGATTTTATTGTTTCGCTGCATTAAAATGTCCATCAAGAAATGGTTTGTTTGAGCCGGTTCTTGTAAAGTGAACATCTTCGAACACACCTGCGCCGGACAGGTGGAGTTACGACGCAGCAAATATTCAATAATCCATCCATTAAACCCATTAAAAGCGGCTCTTACGGATCACAGTTGACGCCCCGACCCTCTGTTCTGTATGCAGTCAGCGCAGCTGCAGACACACGGCTTCAATTAAGTAAGAGGGCCACTTCATTATCAGAGGTCAACGCGCAGACACTCTGATTAGCCCTTGAGGGCGACTTCATCTGGGTGAACACCGCATGCCCACCCGGCTCTGCTTCTCCCCCTGCAGGTGAAGTTGAGTCGCTTATGTGAACAGGACAAGATTCTGAAGGACCTGGAGGCGAGGATCAGCTCCCTGAAGAACGACAAGGTAACCCGTCTCTGAAACGCAACATCAAGATGAAATGAATCTGACATAATTCAGAGGCAAATGCAGCTACAGAAGAAAGTGGAGTTTTTTTCCCTAGATAATGATTTTCTTCTTTTTTTCTTCACTTGTTTTGGCTTTAGTGGCCTTTATTTGACAGTGAAAATGGGTAATGACAGAGAGGGAAGACATGCAGCAAGGGTCACCAGGCCAGGAATCACACCTTCAAAGGCCGCGTCGAGGACTAATGCCTCCTTAACCCCTCTGCCACCACAGCACCCCTAAATAATGATTTTTCTTTTTTTTCCTGTAAAAGGAAGAAAAGCAGCACCAATTTCCAAGAATCATCAAACTTTATTGGGCTTTTATTATTAAATGCCATAAATTAAACTGAGGAGATCGAATAAGTGACGTTCTGGTGAGACGTTGTAGTGAGTCTGGATGTTTCTTGGTGAAATGCTGCCCTCTAGAGGCGGTATTAACTCATCACAGTCCAGCTTCTCAACACATCTCAGTCCTACTTAGAGAGATTAATTAGTTTTAAAGAAAGGTAATATACATATATATGTATATGTGTGTGTGTGTGTGTGTGTGTTTACATTTATATTTACATTTAAATATTTAAGCGTCTCCCTGTAACAGCTTATACATGACACAAGACATGGAATGGATCAGTATTTATTAAATCATGTCAGTCTCATTGAATAAATTAATATTATCAACAGTCCAACAGTGAAACATTCATCTTTGTCCATCAGGATATCCTTGTTCTTTTCAGCAGCTTTAGCTTATTTTAGTGCTGTCAGTCGATTAATAAATGTCAGATTAATTTCACTTGTTCATGCTTAACTTTGTAAGCTTGAAATGTAAAGACGCACGTTTTCAAGAAATGTTGAAGAAAATGTTTCAATTATCTCAAACAAAACGTGTGTGAAGATGCCTTTGTCTTAAATGTATCCCTTTTAATTAATTAATTGTTGTCTTGGTTTAGCTAATTGGATATTTTATAGACCAATGCCTCTGTTTGCTCGTCTGTAATGTTTGTTTTGTATGCATTATTGGTGAATAAAACAACCAATAAAATAACTGCTCAACCCCTCACCCGTTGTAGGACAAGCTGGAGAGAGTGCTTGACGTGTCTCACCAGCAGATGGAGCAGTACCAGGAGCAGCCGGCTCACGTCCACAAGATCGCCTACCAACAGAGGCTGCTGCAGGAGGACCTGGTGACCATCAGGGCCCAGATCTCCCGCGTCTCAACGGTATTCATGTCCGCTGTGTCTGTCTCTGTCGACTGATAGTGCTAGACTTTTTGGAAATGGTAATATTTAACTTTAGGGCTGCAGCGATTAATTGGTTTAATTACAATTAGTTGGATTAATTTAGATTAATCATGATTAATCACGATTGTTAGTCAAATTAATCGTCATCCAGTTTGGTAATTAATTGTTAGTTGGCGTATCCAGACTCAACGCTGGGCAATTTTCTGAAAGCACAACATTCTCAGAGCAATTAATTAAGACAAAACTGTACGAAAAATATGTGTGTGTATAAAAAAAAATCTTAATCTACCCCAAACTCCTCCAGTGTCATCATTTTAGCTTCAACAAGTTGATCAAATTCTGCAAAAGTAATCTAGTAAGCGCTTATTATTATCATCCAAATATCATAACAGATAATCATCAGATAAGCCTAAGCGGAAGTGATGTTAAGTGAAATAGGCCTGAGCTTTTCAACTGTTGATGTTTGGATGTTTTTAGCTGCATGTTCAGCCTTTACTACAAATGATTAAGTGTTCTCTAAAGAAATGCTGTCATTGCTTTTTAGGTGAATAATTTTCGAACTTAACAAAAAGGAATCAAATTATATTTCATTTGCATCCTTTAATGTATTTCTAATATTGCATAAAAAAAAGCTTAAATAAAATTTCTGCAGAATACGCCAATTTTAAAAAAATCTGATTAATCGATTACTTCTCATAACAATCAATAGATTAATCGGTAGGTAAAATAACTTAGTTGCATCCCTATTTCCTTTATAGATTTATATGTTAGTAGGTAAAAAAATACATATTTGACCTCAAATGTTTTAGATTGTGCACACAAATTGTGCTTCAAATGCTAACCAAATGGTTTAAGAGCGAGCGTTTGTTTGGGTTTTGCAGGAAATGGCGCGTGCGTGGGAGGAGTACAACAGGCTGGAGCAGTCAGTGGAGCTGCTAAGGCTGGCACTTCAGGCACACATGACCCACAACGACACGTCTCAGGTGGGCCTTCCTTCCTCCCTTTAAAAAATAAAACCCTCAGCATGTCAGCGGTTCTGAATGTTGGTTTTCCACAATTTCGATGAACAAAAGTGCAAACCACAACACACTGTCTTCAGCCGAATGGCAACAACAGAACTTCCACACGTTTAAATAAAAGGTGAAATTAGTCAAAAGAAATCCTGTGTCTGTTTGCTTGTTTGCATTGCAGCAGGAAAAGGCTGAACTGAAGCGGGAACTGTGGAGGATCGAGGACGTCATGGGGGGTCTTAGCGCCAGCAAAGCCAACTACAAGATAACTGTGGACTCTATTCAGAATCCAGGTGAGATCCGTCTGTTTGCAGATGACATTGTGATCGCTCACAAAAACTTCTCTAATATTGTGTAGCCCTATTCCTGTGAGTCCGCCTTGAAACCAAGGTCTTAGTTGGGTTGAAGGGAACTCCAGTGCGTTTCGAATGCTCATGTGAAAGCCATGCAGAGCAGACACCGCTTCAAAAACAGGAAGTGGATAATAGCGTAGGGCATTTTGGGTAGATACAACCAAGACAAACATAAGTCATGTGATGACAGATATGGCTCATAGTCTTTTGCCAAAGACAAAGGATACAGCCACTAAGGTTGGATGCTACTTCATTTTTGTGTAGATTTTATGAAGAAGGAAGTTATGCTTAGCTACATATTTTTACACTTCAAATTCAATTGTATTAAATCTTGTTTTTCTTAAATCTTAATGTCTTGTTCTGTAACGTCTGTGATGTTTGAACGTAAACTGACTGTCTGTGATTTGCTGGTCATGTAGTTCATTTTCACACAGCTTACGTTGTGAACACAATTGTTCGTACGTTGCATGAGACAATCATGAAAAGTATTTTTTCGGATTTTTTTGATGCATTTTTTGGCCCTTCTGGCATTCCGTACAAGAGTCAGTGCGTAGCGACAGTTTATTGGAGTTGAATACATATTGAGCAAACTTGTGTGAGATTCAGTTGCACACACCACAAATTATTAATTACTAACATCAATGTATGTGATCACATCAGTCTAACTGCACAGTCATATTTGGGGGGGTTATAGCAAAACTGGAGGAAAACTGAGGGTGTATGGCACATAAAATTAGCCTCTTTTAATTTAGCGTAGCATAAAAATGCCATTTTCATCCCACCTTTGTCTAAGCGTACAGCTTTCTGTATTGACACGCCTCAGCAGACAGGAGATTAGTGCCTTCGGTGTCGGACCAGGCGGTGCCTTCGGGCGGCGCGGAGGTCCAGCCTCCTCCCCGCAGCTCCATCACTTTGCCTCACAGCACCGTGCCAAAGTGGGTGAGTGTCCTTCCTCGCCCTCTGCAAACAAAATACACCACAAACCTCCGCCACGAGTCTGTAACCGTCCTGATCCGACTGCCATACAGGCAGAGGACGACGCCCCGCCCAGGCCGCCGCTGCCTCGTCTCTATGACTACGAGGAGACGCCCCCCGTGGTGCCTCCGCTCCCCAAGGAGGCCTCGGTCATCCGCCACACATCTGTGCGAGGGCTCAAACGGCAGTCAGACGAGAGGAAGCGAGACAGGGAAGGTGGCCAGTACATTGCCAATGGAGACTGTAAGGTATCGTCATTCATTTTTCCTAAAGTGGGGAGACTTCTACACATTGCTTGGTCATGTAGATATGATACAGTGAATCTGTGTTGGCTAATAGACATGCTATGCTATGAGCGCTGCCCGTCTTTGATTTCTGTTTCAGGCTGATTTGAGGTCATACCTGAGCGAACCAGAGCTGTCAGGAAGCAGCCAGCCAGTCACAGCGTCTGAAGCCGACTACCAGTATTACCCAAGCAAAGGTAACATGCTTCACTTTGGAGCTGAAACGACCCAAAGTCTTTTAATCACTCCAAGCAAGAAAAAAACACTTTTAAGTAGCTGTTATGTCTACATGGAATAGAAAATGTCCAACAGTATTGGCCGTCATCCAAACACACTCGGATATCTGGGAAAATGGATACATTGTTATGAATTTTTGCCTTTCATCCGAACGGAAACTCAGTTTAACACCTCAAAATTATTGTTCATAAAAACTTTGAAAAAGAAAATCTGAGGAAACTCTGTATTTGTGTTTGCATCTAAAACTGAGATTTAGGGTCCCGCACATTACAGTCTTCAACACAACTCCAGTCAGCATCGTCTTGTGTTTTAGTAACTTTACATTCTAATATGTGATTTTAAAGCATATATCTGTTGACACAATTAAACATCCTGGAGCCATGTTTCATTCCTAACAGAAAATCTTGATCGTTTTGAAGAAATCCAGCTTTGTGCTACACTGCCCCCTATGGGTTTGGCATGTTTAAAACTCAGGGAAAGAGATATTCCTTTTTATAAAGACATGACAACAAATTGTCCTCGAAGGACACTGTCTAATGTTTTAAAATGTTCGTGTTGTTGTTTTGAGGGAGAGTTATTGGTGGACGAGACCGACACAAAGTGGAAGGACAATTATACATGTTTTTTTTTTTTCTTTTTTTACTTTCTAAAAATAAAGCTGAACTAAACCCATGATTGATGGTTCTGTCATTGTCAACTAGGTTTGTTAGGAACCACGTCTCGGCTGGACCAGTCCAACTCCATCTCGTCCTACGTCACCTTGAGGAGGGCTCCCGGCAGCGCCGCACCAAAGGTCAGTCTGTTGCGGCACATGTGGAAAACAAGACAATGTGAACAGACTTATGTCAGTGTTAGAAGTGGGCCCTCTCCAAAATTTCTCAACTAAGACAAAACTTGGACAGGAAAAGCAGAAGATCTGACAATTAGAAAGCAGATAGCTTTCACTGATTCTTTCCTTAAGTTTTAGTCATTTGATTCAAATCTTCAGGGCCGTATTTAAAAGCATGTGGGCCCCTGGGCTGCAGTCACTTTTGGTTCCCTGTTAACCCCCGGGCCCCCAAAAAATATTTCACTCAAGCAAATAACCGAAACACAAACAGAATGAACAACTTATAGGAAAATCTTTTATCTGCCGTGATTGGCGGACATGATAACTAGCCTTAGCATTCGTGGCTAACTGCAGAGTAACAGAGATAAATAAAAGGCCAGCGCCACAAAAAGGGTGAGTGGCAGCACTAAAACCCACCTCCTGCCTCTGATTGGTTGTTTCCATTTGGCACTGGGAGAAGGAAGAAGAGGACTTTGGTGTTTTTCACAGTTTATTTGTCTCATACTGTTCTGTTAAAACATGCTGACAGTTTTAACAAAACATTTGTTTTTTAAAGTCACATACTGCAGCTTGAAATATGGAATTTTGAAATGGAACATTTCTAGGAAGATTTCCCATTTCTCACCCCGCCTTCTCTCTCCTCCACCGCTGTCTCTTCAGGACCGACCCAAAAGCGCCTTTGAGCGCCTGTCGTCCCCCACGGAGGGCGGCCCGCCCCACAGCAGCCAAACCCGAGGCCGGATGACCGCCGAGGAGCAGCTGGAGCGCATGAAGCGCCACCAGAGGGCGCTTGTCCGCGAGCGCAAGAGGAACCTTAGCCACGGCGAGCGCTCCGGCGGCGCAGGCCCGGCAGCGTCGGGGTCTCAGCGCTCGTCGTCTGCGTCCTCCCGGCTGCCCTCCAGCCCCTCCGTACGTTACCCCTCCCTGCAGCGCAGCAGCAGCAGACACACGGAGCACTGGCTCCACCCTCAGTGCTGCTACAGCACTCTCCAGCCTCCAGCCACATAACAACCTAACAGGGATGCTAACGACTTAGCGCTCTTCCTTGGTAGCAGCTCCCACTAACAAGCCGACTTGCTTTGATTAACGCTTTATAAACGACGGGAGACGAATCAATCCGGGGGAAACGCTGAGCGACGGACAGAGCCGCTCCGTTTTTTTATTTGTTTTTTTTTTTAAAGCTTCAGAGCTTTGAGATAGCTAAAATACCACTGCCCCCCCGAACCCCCCAACACCCACCTGTGGGACCTCACTGACACGAATCTGAATGTAAACATAAAGAAGAGAAAGAAGCATCGCTTTAACTTCTTTTCTCCATTGTAATCACCAGAAAGTAGAGAGAGAGCCCATATATATATATATATATATATATATATATATATATATATATATATATATATATATATATATATATATATATATATATATATATATATATATATATATATATATGCTTTTATTTATTATCCGAGGGATATTTTCAGTATATAGTTGTAAAATTCTATTTTGTATAGATTTGGTATATAGAGCATATATAGAAGACCGAGTGATATAATAGGGAAGAATAAAATCCCAAATTTTCAGGTTGTTGATTTAAAATATATGTATAAAATGAAGGAAGATGCAACACTAGTGGCACAAATCATACGACGGCGTATTCGGGCCGTTGTAGATAGACAACAAAAAAGGAGAAGTGTATTTCCATCAAAAAATCTCAGAAATGTTTTTTACATTAATCTCAGAAGTTTTCTGGGACAAATGTGGGAGTGTCGGAGTTTGAAAAGTAAAAAAAATACTATAAACACTCATAAAGTTGTAGATTAAAACTTTGAAATAAAATATTCTTCACTTTTTTTTTTTTTTTTTTTTTTACATTAATCTCAAAAATGTCTGTTTTTCCAAGAAAAACTTTTTTGACTTTCCAAAGTCAGAAATTTCCAACTTTTCTCTATAACATTTCTGAGCTTAATCTATACATTTCTGATTTTTTGGGGCCAAAATTAATCCTCTTTTTTTCCTCCTCTCTACTACGGCTCTTGTACGTCGTCGTACAAATCATGGCCGTACCTCCCTGCTTTCCTTTCCTTAAATCAAATCCAAGTGCCTTGGTTTGTTGACGATCATTTTTGCCTTTATCCCAAATGTCCGTCTTTAAGACTTCTCAGAGTGCCGTAGGACTGATGGAAGAGCCACATGTAGGGCTTGTGTTACAAACTCACAGATAGCAGTCATGAAAATGCAGGGAAACTGGATTAGCTTACAGCTAACACTTCCCCCTCTGAGTTCAATGTGGTATGCTAGCAATGCTAGCACGCTTCAATGGAATGAAATTACTCACATTTTGGATGACATTAACCACCAGGCTGGCGCCATGGTTACAGACTAACAACCACCAAGTCTGCTGTGAATTGAGCAGAAATTGACGGGCTTTGCAAAAGTATTCATGCCCTTCGATCTTTTGCTCGTTTTCTCACGTTACAACCGCAAACTTTACTGGTTTTATTGGGATTTCATGTGACCGACCAACACAAAGCGGTACGTTGTTATGAAGCGAACATAAAAAGGCTCAGTTAAAGTCTGAAAAGTGTTTTATCCAGGATTAGAGCTGAAAACCTTTTAGAGATTTGTACATCCAACAGCCGTGTTTGGCTGTTTTGCAAAATAGTTCAACTTCATTTAGATTAGAATGAAAATCAACGTTCATCTTTTCTATTTGAATTTGACAACGATGCAGTTCCTTTAAAAAACTATATCTGACACCAACAAAGAAGAAATTACCATTTTAATTTTAGGTTTAGATCCAAAATATGACATGGGAAGACAGGCACCAGGACTAAAATTGATTTTGATATTTAAATGATTAATTTCTACTAATATTAAGGAAAAAATATGGAGTTTATCTATCGTTAAATAGTAATTACACAATCATTTTACATTTGTCTAAAATATTACTGTTATTCATTTTTAAAAACTAAATATTTTTCAGTTTTCATTTAAAAATCTTTAATTATGCACTGCTTTGTGTCGCGTTATATAAAGGCTCCAATAAAACTCGCTGAAGTTTGTTTTTGGAACATGTCAAAGGTGTGAAAACTTTTCTAAAGCTCTGGAGTTTTTATTCCTGTCACAATAAGCAATATATGTTTTTTGTTGTTGTTGTTTTTTTATGAGTTGTGCTGTTACTTTTTCACCTCTTTCTAATGATGTCACCAGAATATATTTTATTGTGTGCTGTTCTCCACCAGCATTAAACCTTTTAATTTCATTTTGAGCTAATCTTGTTCATGTGCGATAATCTCTTTGGTCATTTTTGTTGTTTGACTCGATAACAAAAACAGCGGCTCATTTTGAGGTTGGATGCTCAGATTTGAGTATTTCTTCAAGTGGCCTCTACTGTGTTGTTTTATGCATTATGAATATATAGGACTGGTTTAAGGAGCCGGGTTGTTTTGCAATAACAAAATAAAGTGTCACGTTTATTGGCAGCCCTGGTAAACATGGGTAAAATGTGTTACCGTAAATTAAATTAATCTTTTTTTCTTCTTTTTTTCTTTTTTTTTTTGCATTCTTTCAGTGAAAGATGCTAATGCTAAACATAATTAGCAGTAGCGGGATTATTGGTAGCGTCCAGAGCAGTTCATCAAACTTTTCAGGCTGAGAACCGCTGAACCCATTTAGGAAACGCTCACAGGCCATTTACAACTTGAAATTGTCCCCGGTCCTAAGCTAGTTGTCCATCATTATTTTTAAACACAATCTTTTTTGTAAGGTAACCAGTCATTTACATGCAGTACTTTGCTGACCACCGGGGGGCGCCGGCAGACCACAGTTTGAGAAAGCCTGATGTAGAAAGAGAGTGGCCCCGCCATATCACTGGAAGATTTTTCCTCCACAAACACACTGGAGCTTTTGTTGCTGACTGGCTCTCAGTTTGTGGTGGTTGAAGAGAAATGAGACTTTTTTTCTGACTTTACTCACAAAACAATTATAGAGGCAATTATTTTTCCTTCTTAAAATCCATATATATATGTATATGGATTTTCATATATATATATATATATGGATTTTAAGAAGGAAAAATAATTCTCAACATATTTTCCCCCAAATTAAAAAGTAAGTAAGTAAAATTTGTACTAACAAAAAAGTTCTTTTGACATAATGGTACTGCAATAAAGGGAAAAATACATATTTTTTCTCCCCATCTTTACAAGGGCTGCCCATAGAGTGTGAGCAAGGAGCAGACAGCTCTGTCATGATATTGGTCCTTTTCATCCTGTCCTTTATTGCCCCACTGCATATTCAGGTTCAAAAGTAAAATACATTTGTCGTGATCAAATATAACTTTTATCAACAGTTACATTGATAACTATATCAACAATTAGACCAAATACATTCATATTTAATTTCTAGAGAATCTGATGAATAAATCAAAGCGGTATTGCAGCATTTCGACACTTTGGATCCCCCTGATCAAAGATTTTTAAGGCAAAGACTTTTGAAAAATTACAGGTGTTGACTTGACCGTTTTGGGCCTTGTGACAGAGTTTGGACTCTCCTATTGTGGATTTGTTCCCTAATGACACTGATGTCCACTCCTTGTTTGCTCAAAGTGTTCCCACCGTATAGTTCCCTTGCCCCCCCAACACAACACACTACATCAGATCCAACAGAGCAACAGCTAGATCCCTAACAGAGGTGACCCGCTGAGCGCCGTCTAATTCTGTGTAATTGAAGAAGCAACGACTCTTTTCTCTCCTCTTTCTTTTCTATCATGTAGAGATTTGCACTCAATAAAGAGTTTCTTGCTTCTCAAGCTCCTCCTGCCTGTTTTCTTCTTATTCTGGTGGGGAGGTGGTGGTGGGTGTGTGCATGGTTTTCTCTCTCCTGCGTGTGTGTGTGTTTCCTGTTCCTGGACACACGGAAGGCATGGGACGCCGCGTTTACTCTGAGCATGCGAGCGCTCCGACAGATCTGGCTCTGCAGGCTGCAGGAGTGGGAAGGATGCATGCATGGCTTTGATGCTCCTGGGATGATTCCTCACAAGTACCCCTCAGCTACACAGACACACACACACACACATGCTCCCACACACACGCACGCCAACGCTCCTCAGTAGGTGTTCTTGGTGTGCGTTTGAACTAGGAGGACGAAGCTAGGACGTATCTGTGTGCTGACTTCCTCCATTTCAAACATCTTCTGATCCTGTAGGTGTGAACTTCATCGAGGCTCCCTAAACCTCCACTACTGCATGTCAGCTTCCTCTAGCGCCTCAAGAACACAATGTTACCAATCTAGCTCCAAGTTCAGACGTCTCTGTTCACTTCAATTAACACAAAACCAACTTACACATTACTTTTCAGCAAGATATCAGACCTTTTTTTAAGTTCTGAATATTGATGGAAAAAATAGTGAAATAGTAAGCAGATTATTTCACTTATAACAAGAAATTTTTCCATGTTATAAGTAAAGTGGAACTAGGACTTTTTATCCATATTAAGGACTTATTGACTTAAAACAGGCTCTTGTATCTTGCTGAAAAGTTACTTGGGAGTTTTGCCTTATTTCAAGTTTACCAGGACATTTATAGTGGGAACTAGACAAACATGTTGTGGTAAGATTTTGAGTTTGCAGTCAAACACCTTGAGTCATCAGGAGTTACCTTCTGTGAAATAGAGACCTTTTCTTGACAATTTGATCATTTTTCTGCTTTGAAATGTTCAACAAACATCTAATTTCACCAGAACTGATGTTTTTTGTTTTGTTTTGTTTGTTTAGATCATTTAGTCTGAGTTAAAATTACGTTTCGTATCTATACAAATTAAGACTACCAAACTTTTGTTACCTTTTTTGACACCACAGTAGATATTTTTGTTCTTTCATGTAAAAGTCTTTATCTAATCAATTAAACCATTCCAAACGGCTTAAACCACCCAGAATTAAGCACATAAAACCTCAAATAACGGACGCTCAACATGTTTGTTTGTTTTGGATGTTTTTTTTTGTTTGTTTTTTTATTAGAACTAATCCCGCCTCCTTCTCCTCTCCAGGTGTTCGACTGGCAGCAGGAGCGACCTGGAGCTGAAGGTCAGAGCGATGAAGGCCTGAACCTGGTCAGAGAGAGGGAGACCAGGGACTCTGACGAGTGGGTGTCGGTCACAGCCAGGCTCGTCCAGGAGGCTGACCTGGAGCCCCTCCACTACGACCTGGACATCAGCCGGGAGGTACAGGAGCAGGGCCGCGCGCAGGCACTTTGAGGGCCAGGAGCTCCAGTAGAAAATAACGGCACCCTTGTAATTTTGACTGCTTGGTTTTTCTAAATGTGGCTGCCAATTCAAACACAATCGCACAAAAATAGAAGAGGATATATTTTATTGTCCACTGGGTAGAAATTTGTCGAGGACTCCAGGGGTTTATGTTGCATAAGCTGCCAAAACAATTCATGTAAAAGCTTGAAACTTAATCTATAGTTTAAGAAAAGAAAAAAAAACTCAGACTCAACATATTGTCTGTTCAAAATGCAAATGTAAAATAATAAAACACATCTGTGTTGTTACTGTGTATTGGAACAGATTGTTCAAATAAAACAGAACAATTTGATGAATTTAAAAATTTTAACTTGAAAATATCTTCTTTTCAACCCCTGTGGGATTCAGGGTCGTAGTTTATGTATTATTGCCTCAGCTTCTGAGTCGCTAATCGTCTTGCTCCCAATGCATTGCTGTTGAAAAGCAATGCATTGTTGCCACGGTTACACAACCGCAGCAACTGTCTGGAAAAACATAAGAGCAAAACTTCTTCCAGGAAGAGAGAGAGCAACTCGCGGTGACTCAACCTGAGTAATGAACAAAATTTTACAAAAATATCAAACCAGATCCAGCACAGCATTTCTCTGTGTGTCCGTCCAACACGCAGCTGTCCAAACCGGACAAAGTTGTGATCCCGGAGCGCTACGTCGAGTCGGACCCAGAGGAGCCGCTGAGCCCAGAGGAGCTGGAGGAACGCTGCCGGCGGGCCGAGCGCATCAAGAACCTTCTCACCAGGTCCAGGTATCCTCACCTCAGTCTGCCGGGGGAACTCACCTGATCCAACATGGCCGCATTCCATTAATAAACCTTTTGGATTTGTTCCCCCTCCAGTGTCCAGAACATCCAGCCATCAGCATCGCTGGAATTCAGTGAGCTGGACTCGGCTATGGAGGAGCAGGAGAGGATCATGAGCGTCTCCTACGCGCTGGCCTCAGAGGCTTCACGCAAGAGTAAACTGGTTGCAGGTTAGTTAGTTAGTTAGTTAGTTAGTTAGTTAGTTAGTTAGTTAGTTAGTTAGTTAGTTAGTTAGTTAGTTAGTTAGTTAGTTAGTTAGTTAGTTAGTTAGAAGTACAAGTGCTTTAAAGTGGCAGTGTTATGTAGAAATGACTTATTTTTAGCTTTATATGTCATGTTATGTTATTTTATCATCAAACTCAGATGTTGCCTTGATTCTTTAATGCGTGTTTTAAAAAAAATAAATAAATAAATCATTCAATCTCCATGGCAACCCATTCAGCTGTGGAAAACGCCCGGTTTGTCCGAGAGATGAGTTGATGAGCATCAGCTTACAGAGTACTGTCAATGGGAACCTGTGGACATAAAGAGGAAATGTCCAAAGGCAGTAAAAACTTTTTTGAACGTTTAGTTGCCTTTAGTATTCTACAGTAATTAAACGTTTTGAAAAATATGTTGTTGTTTTTTCTGCATGTTAAATTGTCACTATGATCTGACAATATAACATTCCTCCTGTGCTCTTACTGCCATCTGTGAAAGTACACCACTCTGTCAGAAACAGCCAATCAGAGCCAGGGGGAGGGTCTTAGCACTGACAATCATATTCATATAAATGCTGCACAACCCTGCCTCCGCCCTGCTGCCCCAGATGTGCTAATGTGGAAAATAGCTAAACCAGAAAAACCGTTTGTCATTGGTGGCTATGCTAACTAGCATTAGCATTTATTAGCATTGGGATTAGCTGACCAAGCTCAGTATTTTATATTAACCGTCAGGATGTTGTGACAATTTAAATAAATATGTAAAATATAAAAATTAGAAAATTTTGTTTTTCATAAAACTTACCTACTGCTGCTTAATAGTTGCAAAGTTTCAAAGAGCTCCCTCTAGTGGTGAATAATCACACTTCTGCAAGAACTTCAAACGCAAACGGCAGAGGTGTGTGTTCAGACGGACTCTGATGCTCGGCCGTCTCAGAGTGTGACCGTGTCGTTGTTCCTGGTGTGTAGGGACTGAGTGGCTGGAGAGCTGGTGAGCAGGCCCGGTCCAGGTACACACACCCCGACCTTCCTTTGTGTTGGGATCATGCTCTGTTTGTGGTGTGTTTTTTTCTGGGGGCGGGGTTACAGCGCACAGTTGGCCGACATAAAGATGTCAGACTGATAAAGATGGCGTCTTTATGAGCCGAACATTCACGTGACGCTCCAAAACATCTGTGCACATCGCCGGGTTTCTGTCTTCTGGGTGATTGTTTGGTCAAAGAGCCTCGGGGGAGGATTTCACCGAGACTTTCTCGACTTGTTTTACATGTAAGAATCGCGTTCGGTTTGCTTACAGGTCAGTCAAAAGAAAACACAACAATATAGAATTGAATTTATAGACCCTAATGTTAAATTGATCTCTGTTCCTTCCTCAAACGTGAGGTTTATCAGCGAGGATATGGCTAAAAGAGGTAGCGATATCAAGGGGATGCACCGATTGCAGATTTTGGCCATACCGATTTTTTTTCCTGAAAAAAAATCGGTATGTTAACAGCACACGTGCAGACGTGGTGGGCGGCTCTGTCACTCAGCCCTCTGTCACTGCAGAGAAAAAGGAAACCGGCTGATTTTTTTAGACGTTTGCCGATGTTGATGAGGTCAGTGGATGAGATCGGCTTCAAATTGGATGCATCTTTGAATCTCCTGCAATGAAGGAAATCAGAGGCGATTTATGGACTGATTTATTGGTGTACCCCCAGTGGCATATAGAGGATAAAGTCCCCAATTACAATCCAGAATCAATTCCGAATTACCATATTTTCTGGACTAGAAGTCACCGCTTCATTCATAGTTTTGCTGGTCTTGTGACTGCAATTATGCTCGACTTATGTTTCCCTCTTCGTGACACATCTCTTGACTGACGCAACTTTTCCTCCAGAGTGGCTGGTAATCCAGAAAATATAGTAGTCTTACAATTTAACCATTTTTTTTAGCCTCAGGCTTCCTATAAAGTCTTTGTGAAAAGGTTTCCTCCCTGCTGCTCTGACCGGAGAGGCTGAGCTTCTTAACAGACGCCTTTGGGGGAAATGTTATGGTCCTCTGGATTCAGCTGGTGTTTTGGTGCAGGCTGTGTGTGTCAGTGTGTCACTATTGTGATGATTTTCCTCTTATCGGTAATAAGAACATGACATTAAAATTTTCATATTACATCAGATCAATAAAAAAGAACTATTTTTAATAGCCTTAATCGAAACCTGCTTTTAAGATCTGATCTGAGATCTTATATAAGATCTCAGGTTAAAAGGGACTTTTAACCTGATCAACAAACTTTGTAAAAGTTTTCTTCCAAGTTTCTAATGCGAAATGTCTTAGAATATTTGAAAAAATTAAACTAACTTACTAATAACTTTTCAGCTAGATGTAAGAGCCTGTTTTAAGTAAGTAATTCCTTGATACTGATGGAAAAAGTACTAGTTCCATTGGCATATTATTTAACTTATAAACGTCTCGTTATAAGTTAAATTATTTTCCAGTGGAAGTAATACTTTCTCTAACAGAAATTATTGACTTAAAACAAGTTTCTGTGTCTTGTTGAAACGTTACAAATCTGGAACAAACTTCCAGAAAACTGCAAAACTGTTGAAACACTGAATTCCTTTAAACCAAGACTAAGAGCCCAGATGTTCAGAGTCGCCTTTAATTCATAATAGTTTTGAACATTGATTGGTCTATTTGCTCCATGATTTTGATGATGGCATTTGACAAAATGTTCCTGGTTGTCGTTTGATTGTTGCTGAATTGTGCCTAACAAACAAACTTGACTTTGTTTTTGTCTCCTCAGCCAAAGCTGCTGCTCAGCACTGACCCACAGGACCGGCAGAGGGGACGCGCTGTAAAACAGAAGGAAACGCCGTGGAGAAGGAGCTCCACGCTTTTTCATCAAATTAACTTATTCAGTCATTAAAACAAATAGTTTTTTTTAAAAAAAATAATAATTTTAATACACATTTTTGAAGCTATGTTTTTTAATCACAGATTTTTACATAATACGTTTTTATTGCTTCTGCACTTACACTGCACATTTTACAGAGAATCATAAAATGACTAAACTTCCTTTTTGTGCGTTCTGGATTTTCAAGATAAAAGTCAGTCGGCGCGCTCGGATTGCAGTGGGAATGTTTAGGTGACCAGTTTGTTTGCCTGGTGGATTGAGATTCTTTTATTTTTTGGGTTTGTTTTTTTTCTCAATACTGTCTCAAAACTGTCAGAATGTCAAATAATTTCAACACATCAGAAAAACATAAGAATGTCAGGCTACTTAAAATAAATAATGAGATAAATCCTTGTCTCTGTTTTGTTGTAATGTAGTTTTATTTTTAAGAGTGTTTTCAGATTACATCCCTTCGAGAGAGTAGACATTTGTCTTTTGCTTCTGAGTTTCTATGCAGTCTGGAAATGAACTATTTTTCATTTCTACAAAATACAGTATGGGAACATATTGTGTTTCCATACTTTCTCATATTCCATTACTTGGATTTATCTATCAGTTTTTGCAGGTTCCAGATTGAAACTCTGTTGACTGGAGTTTTTGCTGAATTAAGGTTGCATCCTTAAAGCTCATCACCAAATGTTTTAATTGATCACATATAAAAGTCAAAATTAAGATTCTCAAATAAATATTGCAAATGAGTTTGTTTTCAAAAACACCCACAGCTTCCGCTTCCAGCAGCTGCTTTAAAATGATCAAACGCCTCCAAATAACGAAAAACTACAAGTCATATCTACACAAATCACATTTAATGGCAAATAATCTTGTCTCATCCAGTACATTTCAAGGCAGACAACAGGACAGTTAAAATGTTCAAGTGAAATAAAAACAGGTTCATTTTCCAGTCGTAGCATTGTCTTACACTACAACATCAAAAAAAAGAACATTTTATGAAGCCTTAAGACTGGATTCTTTCAGCACATGCACACCAGGATGCGTCCCATCACACAGTACAAATGAGACGAGTGATGTCCTAAAGTGAAACGGAAAGCATCAAACTGTCCCGATGTCAGAATAAAAAAGCTAGCTCCTCTCCCCTCCTACGATGATTTTACGAAGCCCATTTTGTAATTCTGTTTCGGTTCGTTGGGCTGGTCGTCGGAGCCGGACTCCTCCTGTTCTGGTGATTTCTCCTCGGGGCTGGAATCTTCCTCCTGAGCTTCTGTGTGTTGCTTTTCACTGGACGACTCCTCTGGTTTAGCGGCTTCTGTCTGACAGTCTGCAGGCGGGGAGATGACCGGCTCTGGCTGAGGCTGACCAGAGGGAAACAAAGAAAGCTCTTTCAGGGTTCCCAGCGGTATTTAGAAAGAAACTCCATGACCTTCAATAATTTTCCATGACCCACGTAGAACAGGTTCATAGAGAAAAATGCATGCCAAACCCCACCAAGTTGATCTACAGCGAACATGTAAAAGTGCAGGCAGATAAATGACAAAAATGTGAAAATGAAATTGAAAAATGTCACTGAGGAATCATATGATAATAATGTCAAAACAAACAAAAACATATTAGCACTAATGAATGAACACAAAATAATATACTCTTGCTATATTATTGGGTTCTGTTATGTATCAATTACCATATTGAGTTCCCTGTTAGGAATGTTTCTGTAGTAAATTATGTTTATGTACTTTGTGAACTGCCCCTGCCTTTGCTAAGATGGATGTGTATAACCGCCGTGTAGCAACACTGCTAACTGAGTTACTTTGTGTCAGAATTTAAGACACCAAATAACTAATCTGCACCTGTTTCAACCTGCTGATGACTCAGTGACGCTTGGAGCTCAGAGACCTTTTCTGTCTGAGCATCCAGTTTTATTTTCAAAGGATATCCAGATGCAGCCAAACAGGCCCACACACACCAAAACACACCACTCAATTTTTAATAAAATAGAATAATGGCTAATGCACAGAGCGTTCCAATTAGAAGAATCGGCTTGTTTGTAAATGTCACATCACTATATCGCAGACTTTGGTCACAGCGTTGTCACATCTGTGCTACTCTAGCTACAATCTCGTTACATCATCACAATGAGACTGAAACAGCAGCAAAATCAGCCGTTTTTTGTCGTGGTTTAAAGTGTAACGTCGGTGTGAGCGATGACTACGCAACACTTGATCACACTTGACTATTTATCAGCATGTATTTTCCATCTTCCTGTTAGCCATGGCGAGCCCCCACCTCGCTGAAGCCCAGACCGCAGTGCCTCCGGTCCCGGCCTGACAGTTTTCCGTCCATGCTCTGCTGGTACTGCATCTCCAGCTCGTCGTTCATCCGCTTATCTTCCTGCCCTACGGAGGAGACGCACACCGGATCGCTACAGATCGGATCCAAGCAGGGATCAATCAAACAGGAAGTCGTTGCACTTTGCCAAAGCAACAAAGAAGCTCACCGCTGCGGAAGTGGGATGTGGACTTGTGGTCACCGATGACGAGGCGACCGGTGTGTTCTTTCTGGGAGGAAAAAAACAACAACAACCAAGCATTTTATTTTATCTGTCTGCTTTAACTTTATCTGACTGACACAAGCTGGAGCGTACGGACCTTAGAGGCGCCCATTAGCCGTAAGAACTTTTGCTTCCTTTCGTCGCTTCCCAGATCTGCAGACGCCCACTGGGTGGACCCGTCCTGCCAAGAGAAGACGGTTCACCAGCGTTCATTTTCAGCTTCGAAACGTCATTGACAGTTCATTCAGGAATCAGGGAGTTATGTGTGTTTTTTGTCAAAATAAAAGAAAATAAAAAATGGCCATTTATGTTGTCAATGTTGATCTCGGATACTCTTTAGCCACAGCTTGTCATTTGAGAGCCGACAAATAAAATGTTCAGTGGTGACCTGGTTTGTATGCGGTGTAAAGTTAAAGTCAAACTTTAATAATAATTTCGGTTTTTTTTCATAAGAGAAACATCTTCACCATGTCATTTCTTCATTTATGTCAGTTTCACACAGATACATATTCAGTTTGAAGCTAAAACTTTTTGTTTCAAACTAAAAAAAAAAGTTATCAAGTTAAATATTTAACTTGATGCCAACTATTTAGCTTCAAACTAAACATTTACTTTCGCAACTAATTAGCTTGAAGTCAAATATTTAGCTTACAACTAAATATTACGTTTCAAACTGACATTTATGAATGAATAACAAACATGTTAGATAAAGTAACTCTTTTATGGCTGCCTAAGCAACCCAAATTATTGCTGTTCATTTTTGACCGCAACTTTACAATGCCACCCTACACATGTCATATCAAAGGAATTGTAATGTATAACAATTATAACTCAGGGCAAATGGAAAAGGCAGCTTTTAAGTCGTGACTTAATTTGCTAAAAGGGGAAAAAAACAGCATCCAAACCAACTTCCCCTAAATCTAGCAGCTGGTCATGCCGTCCTTGGCTTAACAACCCCCATCATGCATTTGCAGTAACTCTTTTATCCGCAACACTTTTGTTTACTGTCACACATTAGAGGATTTTCCATCTGGCCTTTGACTAGACAGATGTCTCCAAAACCTAGAGCTGAATTCATGGTTGAAGCCCGCTATGGTATGCTATTCTTTCTCTACCATGCTGTTAGGTTTTCACCAGCTGCGGCAGGAAACACCTTTCTAAGAGTTTGGCTTTTGTCCGGTCGGTCCACGTAATGTCTCTAGAGGAGAGATGTTTCCGCTCCATTTGGTCAGCAGGAGTTTTGGTCTTTGAACTCAACCACGGAGGCCATTTTTGTCCAGTCTCTTTCTCTCTGATGAATCACAACCACTGAGTTTAACTGAGGCATGAAGCGCTTTAGATCTTTGGTTCTTTTGACTCATCCTGGATGAGTCAATGCGCTCAGCAGAGTTACGCCGGCAGACCGGCCACTCCTGGGAACGTTCACCTCCGTTTTGTCCTCTCAATCTACTGAAGGGCTTCTTACTTTCCAGACTGATGGTCGTCAAGGACTTTGTTTCACATCTGCTTTTTAAATTTTACAAAACAGGGCTTCATGCGTTTCCCTTCGAGCTCTGACAACCAACTTCATGCTGCCAGACTGGTTCTATCTGAATCCCTGACCCTGATTGGGCAACAATCTGGCCTGAGAAACTCAACTTCTTCAATGAATGCAATCATATTTTGTTTCTTACATTATAAAAGTTACTATGAAACACTTGAGAAATTGAGAAGAGTAGAGTATTTAGCTATATTTCATATAACAGTAATTAGTTAAATCTAACTACTGTGCCATAGAGCTGACATAAAGGTTGAAGATGGTGAGAAAAGGTGAATAGATTGAACTGATTCGTGAACAGGTTTGGTCGTGAGGTCACATTTGAATAAAAAAAATTGGCTAAAAACATCAAACTACAAAATACTGTATAGAGGGGAGCTTTAGTTTCAATGAGTAGCAACAGACACAAGATCTCATCTCACTACAAAACTTTATCAACCGAGCAGTAAACGGATCTCAACACTGGAGACTCTTCGGCTGCTTTCACCCTGCAGTGGGATGTTCAAAGTTTGCCAAAAGGTTTTTAAAATGCGCAGAACATTCCAGGGAACTTTATTTTGGGACCGCGTCGTGTTCACGTTTTTCACCACAAAGCTCGTGAGCGCTGATGCCTTGCTGCTAGCTTGCTAAAACTAGCAGCAAGCTAGTTTTAGCTTGCAGCTACATTTTGATTTTATTTCCTACTTTTGTAAGTTAGAGCAGCAGCTTTTCATGTTTTACTCACTTCCGAGGGAGACGAGGGTCGTTTTCTCCCGTGTTTGTCCTCTGGAGACGTCATTATTCACTGAAATCGGAGTTAAACTGGAAATAGGGATTTTATTCCACACACAAGCAGGAGCTACCTTGCATTTGTCAACAATTTGTACTCACCCTGACGACACTTCCGGTTGTCGTCTTCCTCTACGGTTTAAAATTGGGCTGCTGTGCTTCGTGCGGAGACGTGTTGCTGGAGATTATACCTACATCAATTCAATGAGTTTTGGACCACGGCTCTAATAACAGAATATCTTGTTAAAATGTGACTAGAAAAAACAAAAAAACAAAATAACAAACAAACAGAGCGGAAATGAACCCTGGACAACCGACATGCTCCGCGTGCTCTTATGTGAAACTCACAAAGTTTATCATAATGGCAATACAATTCTTACACATAGCCTACTGTTTTTTTTTATATTTTAATCTTATTATACAACTATATTTTTGTACATTTTGTTTGCTTGTCACCTATTTCTTTTCTTTTTTTTTCCACGAATAACAACCTGTCCAAAGCAGGTGTTGGACTGCGCGTCACTAATTACCGCATTACGTAAGCAAATAGTCTGAGTGGTTAGTGCTCCGTTTGTGGCAGCAAAGTTGTTTTCAAGACTGATATTCCAATATACGCGGAGCGAGCGGCGCCTAGCTCAAGGTTGATCCGACTCCTGAACGCTGATTTCGGCCAGCCGTTCTCCACCGCTCCCTTCACTTAGGGACTGTCAACAAATTTCCCAAGACAACTCTCCTAAGAAACAAATGTAAACAGATTTCTTGCCTTGTGACCAACCGACACAAAATTCATGCTGTTACACCAGACGCACTGTTCTCTAGTGATTTTTTAAAAAGTCGTGTTATGATTTTAATAATTGTAATATTAAAAATTATTTTTTTCTTGAATAGCTTCCAAGTCATGTGCCCTACTGACTCAAAATCAGTGTGAAACTCTTCTAGACTGGAGAGATGAGGTGCTCTTATTTTTATTGCATTGAAGTTTTTCGACATTATTTTAGCATATTTTTTATTATTATTTAATTTTATTTTTTTCTTTGTTAAAATTGAGTATTTTCTTTCTGTAGCTTCTAACAAAGTGGTCCCCTTTGGTTTATTTTGGAACAAGTCGGGGGATTATTGAACTCTGAACTCTGGATGATCCTAAAAAAAATAATAATAACTTTGAATATCAGGAAAACGAAACCTGCTCAAACGACAGTTTCCTGCACAAACGGAGCACCGACCACTCAGACTATCTGCCGGATTTTTTTGACGTGGGCGGGGTCTCAGCTTCACTCAGCTGCGCTGACCTCATCACGCAGATTCAGCCCAGTGAGGAGATTTCACGCACTCCTCGCAGTCACGCTTCACGCTGGTTTTATATTTTTTTATTATCATTTCTATTATTATTTTTTCCGGTTACACGATGCATCAAACCACATCAAATGCTTTGTCCGCTTTGTCAGTCAGAGTTAGTGTGCGCGGCTGTGCGGAGATCTGAGAAACTCGTCCCATGAACTCGAGCAACAGTTTCTGTGGCCCTTATTGAAAACTCAAGAGACGGAAATGGAAGAGCTCCTAAAGCCAAATTAGCAGCATTAAGTTAAATCTCCTGTTTGTTGCGCATTCTCTGCGCAAAGTGCAGTGGATTGAACTCGTCCTGCAGGGCCCGTCCAAGGATATATGAGGCCTGGAGCAGAATTTGACTTGGGGGTCTCGTTTGTTGCCAAAAACATCAGCATCTCTAACAGCTTCATAGATTTAATTAAATCTGGGAGAGGTGGAGTGGTTTAAATAGGCAACCTAAAAAGCAATAACTTATAATCACAGTTTACTCATTTGTATTTGTGAACAAACAGAGCTCAAACTCAAAGATCAAACTCATAGCATCAGATTGTTGCTATAGTAACAAAACAAAATGAATATTGCTCTTTCAACTTTTACAAAGTAAACTTTCCAGATCCTTAAAATCTTACATATAAATGTTAAGCTCACTTTAATGTATTTATTCTGAAATCATTAAATCAAAATTAGCAGCATTGATAATCTTAATAAACTAATATTACATTTATGTATCTGTGGTCTGTGTTGAGATATTAGCCTTCATGGGGCCCCTGAAGCCCTGGGGGCCTGATGGAGCTGCTGACTGAATTTGGATTAATCAGAAGTGCAAACCATTAATACATATTAATTCATTTTAATTTGTTGTTTGATTTGTTGTTTTTAAGACAATTTGAGGGTTTAAATAGTGTTTCACTGGCGATATTTTCCAGTAATATTTTTACATTTTCTGTCTACTTAACATCTTTTAAATCAAAAACACAGTGGACCGCCTCGGCCCGACCACTAGGGTTTTCTGGGGGAAACCCTGCAATCAAAGAAAAGGTTAACAGCCAGGAAGAAAGACCCATAAAAGGCAACTTGAATTTTAGCATCAGTCAATAAGGAAACAAGGTACCGGCGATTGAAATTTATTTAAGTATTTACAGTTTGTGACTGCTTGATTAATTATTCATGAAAGGAATAATATCAATGTAACCAGCTGTGCTTCATTCATGTAAAAAAGAAAGAAAAAACAATTGTGGTTTTTGTCTTTCTTGTGTAGCTCTTACAGTGGTTGATAACAAGGACGGCTTTAATGAATCATCATTTCACCATCAGTCCTGGCTTCCTCGAAGTTCATGTTCATGTTGAAATGTTGGAGGCCCTATCAGAAGGCAATCTCGATGATCCACACGGTTCGGAGCCTGTAACTCCAAACCGTCTGATCACAACCAAAGCCTCAACCTCTGCCTGCACAGTTCTTTAAAGAGGACCTACATAGCATCGAATACAGTATCTACTCAAACAGTTCTGGAGCAGAATTGTCTTGTTATTGCTCTCCTTAATTTCAAACCTTCATTGTGTTCCTAGTTAGGTTGTGCCTTTAGTTACCTGAGGTTCTTGAACGTCTGATTCCATGTCGAGCTTTCTTTAGTGATTACAGTTAGATTATTTTTATTTTATTTCCCTGTAGTGATTCTAGTAATGTTTATTTCTTAGTCATTTCGTCACCCTAGGTTCAGTTATTCTTACATGTCTGGGCTAAGGGATATCTTTCTTTAGTGATGTTTATTGCTTCTACAGTAACTTCCCTCTCGAAGTGTTTCTAGTTTTCTTATTTTGTCATGTTTGCTTTAGTTAGTCCTTTTGTCTGAATCTATGTCCATCTTTCTTTAGCAATTCTAGTTAGGTTATTTCTTTCTTTAGACCTTGTCGTTACTCCAGCTCTATGCTCCATATTAGTGTGAATGCTGTATAGTAAAAGTGGACACTTTTCACTCGCTTCATCTGTATTGTTTCGTCTTTAACTTGTGTTGTCACATTATTTAACGTGCTTAAACACGACAACACGATCAGATTCATGGACTAGTGACGTCCCTTGAGCTTCATTTAACTTGTTTCTATGTCTCAACAGGCCAATCAGAGCACAGACAGAACATTTTCCCCCCTGTCTGCATTGGCGAAGCTGTTATTTTGTAATTGCGGAGAGACTAATGCTAACGTCAAACGTGCTAGCACGTCTAGCTTCTTGACTTCGAAGTAGCAACTCCACCTTGATGGAATCTGAAATCACTTCTTGTTTTCTTTCACTATTTCAGACTTTTTTTTTTGCTTCAGTCATTGTCAAGTTATTAATTTTAGTTTCTTTTTGACAAATCAGGTTAGCTAAATGAGCTCAGCACTTGGAGTTTCACCAACTCACTTCAGTAGGTTCATTTGTCAAGCTTAATAAGTAACATCTCTGCCGCTGGTGTGCTGATTAAAATCACTCAAAATGGCCTGTAAACTGGAAGACGGGGTGTTTTGTCGCTGCACTACTAAAGCCTGGCGAAAGGTGGCGCCAGAGTAAACCTAATAGCCGAGGAGCAGCTGACGCTCGTGCCGCTGACAGGACTCTCAAACTTCTTTTCAGCTGCGCGAGAAGTTAATCCGAGCATTGTTTCAGCGCCTCTTTGTGTTTTAAATTGATTTATTTTTATTTTATTACTGAAAAAAACAATAGGTGTCCAAACATAATCGAGACGATGAGTTTTTATTACTTATTTTTTTGTAGACTAAACTGAATCCCCGTGATTTCTCTTTTTATTATTATTATTCTTTATCTTTTTTTTAATTTATTCTTGACAAAATAATAATAAAGATGTTACTTGGTGAGCTGAAAGACAAAGAGATGGACGCACGTGGGGCTTTTCACACGCTGAAGAATCTCTAAAAGAAGAAGAAATGTAAAGAAATAATAAGTGGGAGAGAAACCACCGACTCCCACTGTTGTTCTGCAGTCACAGGTAAAATTTCTCGGCCGACCGTGAACCTAACGGGGAGGTCTGGCTGGAGCGAGAGAGGGAGAGAGAAAGAGTGAGGGGGAGGAGGGGTTATCCTGCCGCTGCCTCTTTGGCCAGCAGTGCCCCGCACTCTGACTGGAGCCTCTACGTAGAGCCGGACGGGAAATAACCCGATAAATACTCTTCTTTATTTTTTATTACTAAAAAATATATATATATTATTATTATTATTATTGTCGGTGTGTAAAATTAAACAAACCTGGCAGCTCCTGGGGCGGGGCGTCACTCCTGACAGCAACTCTCCCAGACACCGCACTCTTCTTCTTCTTCGTCTTCTCTTCTTCTTCTTCTTCTTCTCCTTCTTCTTCTCTACTCCTCGGCGCAGCGCAAACAGAGGGAGTTTACACCAAAAGTCCAGAGATGGTGACTTTACGGCCGGGACCAGAAGACAGCCCGAACTGAACCCCTCGCCACTTGCCTCTTCTGCTGCCCGCCGGTTCGACATCATCATCATCTTCATCTTCAGCCCAGTCCTCCGAAGTTTTGTTTTTGTTTCTTCTCTCTTTGGCGAGAGCGCGCGCGCGCGGCGCATGTGGAAGAAGAAGAAGAAGTGAGTCCAGGTAAGAGAGCCGTCCCGTCCCTGTCCCGGTCCTTGTCCCGTCCCGTCCCTGTCCCGCTCCGGTCCCGGTCCGGTCCCGTTGCTCGGAACCTCCGCGGCTCGGTTTGATTTTGGACAAGAAAGAGAAAAAGAAGCGGCGATAACTGCTGCAAATTCAGGCCTGAGGTTCTTTTCAACAACAGAATAATAGGAAATAGAAAATTTAGGGAGGGAAAAAATACAAAATAAATAAAAAGCGACTCAAAAGTTTCACTTCAGACAGGAGACCGCAGCTTTTATCAGCTCGCTTCAAATCCCCAAAACTTTTCCAAACGTTTCAGGATTGAGAGTTTAAGACGCGTTCTCCTTTTTTTTTTTTTAAATTTTTTAAATGATAACGAATGTAATAAAAGCAGAAGGCTGTTCATTTGCGCCACTTTTCATTCCAGTCTGCGCACTCTTCAACAGCAACAATCGCATAATAAAAGCAGAATCCAAACCGCACAGATACGAGCAGAAACCAGCCTCGGTCAAAGGTTGGCAGCTGCAGAGTTCAATTTCAACCTTAACTATGACTGCAAACACCAACAAACCCTTCAGTTTTTTTTTTTTAAATTTCATTGTATTTATTTTTCTGCCTATTGCTTATCAGGAGCAGGAATAAATGCACAATGTTGTGCTGTCTAAATTCCAGCACATTTGTTGCAGGGAAAAAAAATTCATCTGCTGTGTCTTATTGTCATCGTCGTTATTATTACTATAAAAATAACTAAAGATCAGATTTGTGTTCTTTTTAGTTTTTAGGACTACTTCTTTTGGCACAAGCTCAGACTGACTAGTGACTTTGGATACAAAACTCAAGAAAAATCTCCTTAACGACACATTAAAAATCAAACGTCACAGCCCCAGCTTGTGTGAAAAATTTAGAAACTAATTCTGCAAAAATAAATAAATAAAAATATATAATGTTTGGGAAAAAAGCACACAAAAAGAACGGTTTACGAAGAGATATGAAATCTGACATCTGTGAAACTGACATAGTGAAATTCAACTTGTATGAGTTTAAGCTAGAGTGTGTGTTTGTATTTATTTATTGCAGTGTGTTATGTATTCCTTTTCTCATCCTCGCCTTATAAAAACTTTCGAAATCATCTGGAATACACTGAGAGAAACGAAGGCTTCCAGCTTGCCGCAGGTCATGCAGGTTTGACCCCCAAGCGTTTTTTATCGTCTCTCAACTCTTGAGGTGATCAGAAAGAAAAACGACAACAACACAAAAAAAAACCCTGCAGTGGGTGTTCACGGCTGAAATCCGACAGTTTGAACTTGAGCTTCTAATCCCATGATCGTCCGGCTTTCAACCCGGCACCCGTGAGGAAGACAAAGAGGAGGAGGAGGAGGAAGAGGCTTTGGCCCCTGGAGGTCACTGTAAGGATGATGGGACAGGACGGTGTAGGGGTGGTGCAAGGGGGGCATGGGAGGACAAGGCGCACAGTGTGGCGGTGGAAAATGCGCGATAAAGGCACTTGGAGGGTGTTCCCCGTGTTCGGAGGCGCTACACCTCTGAGATAAGCCTCTGGCCGCCCGCAGATAAGAAGCTTTCAGAGTAACAGAGCGAAAGAGAGAGGGAGCTCACGCATGAAAGACAACATTGAGTTTAAAAAAAAAAAAAAAACCCAAAACCCAAAACGCAGGTCCGGACAGCCGTGTCACTGACTCCTCATCCCGGCGGTTTAATCACTTGTGGAAGTTGGGTGAGAATGCTCCATTTCCCAGGATTTACCCGCTGAATGCTTCCAGCTCATCCTTTCTTTTCTTTTCATTTCGTGCGCATCAAACCACCCTCTACCCCCCCACTTTTTTTTCTCCTTCTTTTCAGACTTGTAATTGCCCCCCCCCTTCACCCTCCTCTTCCTCCTCCCTACTGCTGCCCTGTTCAGGCCTGCCCCCCTCGCTGTGGCAGTAAATCACCATTCCCAACAAGTTGTTTAATTGTTTGGACTCTGGTAGAACAATTTATAGATACCCGCCCTCCTCCTCCTCCCTCCCACTGAGTCCGCCCTCCTCCTCCCCCCCTCCACCCTCCAGCATGCACACCTCTGTTGTAAGTGAGAGTGTCTGTGAAAAACAATCTGGCCCGCTCTCCTATGGCATTTTGTTTGGAGCAGGTGCTGCAGGCTGAACTTCCCTCATAAGGTAAAGTGGCATTAGAGCGTCCAAATGGCAGACTTATATATAGGCTGCCGATTCAGCACATTGTTCCGAGGGGGGGAGACCTGCTGTCCCCCACCCACCACCCCCGTCTGCCCCTTTGCTGCCTCCACCGCCACTCTTCTTCCTCCTCTGTGGGAACCAGCAAGTGATCAGGCCTGTGTGGTCCATTGAAAGGCTGTTGAACATACGTCAGGGGCCTCCGGCCGGGGGGGCCCCTGCAGCTCCTCCAAAGCGCCTTTGCAGGAGTTCAACACGAAACGATCCAGAACCGAGTCGTGACCTGAGCCTGACTTTAGAAAAGGGTTTTGAGGGGCGGCAACCCAGAATAATTTGTGTGCGTTTACAAACATTGCACCTCATGTTAAAGTCATGGGGTCTTTTTTTTTTTTTTTTTTAATAAATTTGTTTTAATTAATTCATAATGACATTTTAATAATTTAAGCTTTACTCAAGTATTTGAAAATGATCTTATTTCTTACCTCAAACATTACTTTAAACTAAGCAGTTGTCTAAGGCCTATCTAATCAGCTGTACTCTGCATGAGAAAATTATTATTATTATTAATTTTCTTTGTTTTTCTGAGAAAGGGGCCAAAACTGGCTCCTGCCAAGTGGCCCTTATTTTCCTGAATCCAGCGCTGTTTGGGACCTTATGCATAACTGTGTGTCATAATATTTTGTGGTATTCTTGTGGGGAGCAATAAGAACTTTTAGTTTTACTATTTCTTAAGGAGAACAGCAAACACAAACACTCAAATACTAATAACATGTTTCTTTATTACAACTGTGACCCAAAGAAGTGATTTGTGTCACTATTAAGCTGCACACAGTAACTGAATCTAATAATAATCTATATTTAGTGATGCTTTCATTGAACAAACAGTGGAGAAAATTGTAAAAATAACAATGCAGACCGTTTTGAGGGTATTGGAAGATTATTAATTTGAATTTATTGCGAAAGCGGTAAATGAAAATGATCTTATCATGACTATATCGTAATGAATGACATGATAAACACCATAAAAAAAGCTGATGACCAGAACATTCCTATAAGCAGGATTTCTTTTTCTATAAGAAATACGAGATTTTTAAATATTATTCACTAAACTGATTCACTAGTTTATTTATTTATTATGGCATAATAATAAAAATCTCATTCAGTCAATTGCGTGAGTCGATAAATAATAGCTGATTGGATCAAATATTACTCAAAAGTTCATTTATTCCAGAAACCTTTATCACAAATTGAAGCACATTATTCAGATTAACTCAATATAGACAGATGTTTGAAAGACTCTTATTATTGTTAATTATGACAATTTTCTATTCGCAGACAATAAAAATATAACTTTTAATATCCAAATATTACGTCAAACAATTAAAATAAACTAGTTTTAAAAACAGAAGTATGATCTTAAAAAAAAACATGTTTTTTACCCGCTGGTTTTATAGGGAAAGTCTTACTAAATGAATGTGACTGCAGATATATTTCATATCAAAGAACCAAAATGGACTTTATTTCTTCTTCTCTTTTTTCTTTTTTACAGTTTGAGAGTTAAAACTTTGAGTTTATACAACTCAATGTTTGTCTGAATGACTTGTTTTCTATATTTCCTAATGATGTCTCATTTTCAAAGATGCGTTACTTTCAGTCTAAACATAAATGAATCACACACAAAAAAAATGTCTTCCTGCTGTAGAGGGATACATCCAGAAAGTTTCCAAACTTGAAACTTGTAAAGCTCAGTAAGTTATCACATGCTCAAACGAAAATAAAAAAACCCAAACATTTTGATTCATTTGTTACTTTCAGATGTTTCTAAGATCTTAATTATTTACTTAGTTTCCTTTCTGGACTGAAATCCTTTCAAAGTGTCCGTCTCGGTTGAAGATAACGTGTCAGTCTCCGGGCCTTCGTTTCGTCACCCGGTCATTTCTAAAAACGACTGTCTTGATTTCACGCTGCAGCTCTGGATTCATGATCTCTCCGGTGTGACAGCCTCGGAGCGCACACGGAGCCGTCTTTAAATCGGCCACAAATGTTCAGGAACAGGACGCAATTTGCTTTGGTGTGAAAAAAAACAAAAAACAACAAAACAAAAAACAGCAAGAAAGTGCTTGTTTTTAAATGTTTTTTCTGAAGGGAATGATTCGTTGGAACGCAGAGCGGCTCTCGGGTTGCGGTCGGGGAGGAAGAGCCGGAGACCGCCCTCCTCACCTCCTCCGCCCCCGAATCGCTGCGATGGCGACTGTACCTGACTCGACGAGTCGTTCTTGTCGTTTTATTTCTCCTCCCTCCATCCAGCCTCACCGTGTTGCGGGTTTAAGCGCTTCCAGATGTTTTTTCCCTTCTTTTTTTTTTTTTTTTTTTGCCGAAGATGTCATTCAACTTCATCGCTTTAAGCCTGTGGCCCCGATCGGGAGAGCCTTAATTATTTGTTGTCGGGGTTCTTTGAGAGAGATACCGTCCCCCCCTTCCCCCAAACACACACACACCCCACCCCTCTCTGAAATTGGACATGTGTTGGACAAACACAAATTAAACATTTATCCCTAAGTATTTCTTCCCCGGGATTCTAAGTGCATATTAGTCAGCCTATACTTATCTCCGGCCCCAACGGCACACCCAAATTGCAGTGCTGCTGCTGAAGAAGAAGGAGGCTCAGGGGGCCCCCGGAGAACGAGCGCTCGGAGCGCGCTGGCGGATACCCCCGTCAGTCTTTTTTTTTTTTTTTCCAACCACAAATGTTGTCGTAGGTGTGTGTGAGGACTTTCACGTCTTTTGTGTTTTCTTCGTGGACGGAGGAAC